ATGGAGATTTTGGTGTTTTGAAGATTGAATTGGGAAATGTGTGCATTATCATCGTCATTATCGCCGTCACCCCTCGTTCAGTTCAGTTCAGTCCAGTCCAGTCTAGTATCAGACACCTCCTCCCTCCCCCTTTCTCCTCTACATCTCAAACATCTTGACTTCATCTTCTAAACACACCCCTCACCTATCCCTCCGACTCCAATCCCCCCAATCCCAACAACCTCACTCCCACACCCCGCCCGTCGCCCAACCCACATCCTCCCCTGCTGCGGCTCAAACACAAAGTATGCAGCGCGCAGGACGCTGGTGCCGAGGAGGAAGGGAACGGCGGTTGTTGGGCGCGCGTTTGGCATGTCGGTGGCCTTTGTGTTTCCATCCCCAGCAGTCTCCCAAACACCAGTCGGCACACCAAACGGCAACGCACACACACCGCCAGCAAGATGCAGCAGGGCGTCTGAGAGCGGGACGTGGATTGTGTGGTTGGGGAATGTGAACTGTGGGCGTTGTTAGTTGCAGTGTACGTACAGGTACGGACATGGCTAGAGACGGACAGAGACGACGTTTCCGCCTGGTTTGTGGGAGCTGGGGGAGATGGAGAGGAGGGAGATGGGAGTGGAATAGTGTCTGGGAAGGAAGGAGAGGAGGAAGAAGAAGAGGAGGAAGAAGAAGAAGAAGAAGAAGAAGAAGAAGAAGAAGAAGAAGAAGAAGAAGAAGAAGAAAACTTTGGAAAATACTTGCATCAAACGACCCTCCCTCCACTCCACACGGCACTACAAAATTCACACCACCCCGATCTGTACGCTGCTGCGTTACATGGGCGGGGTACGAGTCGATGATCTGGGTGAGCATGGTTTCGGGGAGGAGATTGTATGGTGTACCGGAGTCGAGATGGACGGGGAGACTGCTGCTGCTGGTTGTGGTTGTGGAGTTTGTACGGGGCGGGCTGGAGAGGGGAGGTCGGATGTCAAAAGGGATGATGACATCGTCTGGGAGCGTGATGCCCATGCCAGTGAGATGGGTTGTAAAGCTTGGGAGAATTAGTAATGAACATGTGAGGGCGCATAGTGTATGCGAATGAGGGGGGAAATACCCGTTTGCTTCAAGCATAGACAGACCGCCTTGAAACCGTCTTCTATCGATGCCGCCGAGAATAAGACTCCCTTTTTAAAGCTTGGGTTAGCAAGTAGCCGGGAGAGTCTGGGATATCTGCGTTTGCCTAACCAGGACGGGAGTCGTTGCGCGGGCCCAAGTCGAGACTGAAGGCGTAGCTGCTGAGTACGCCCTGTGCGACCATTTGCTCGATGAGGGAGGGTGAGGCACCGAGGGCGCTTCGTCCGGCGCCGAAGATGCCGTTGGTGATGTGGTTGGATGTGGCTGCGAGACCGAGGTGTTTGGCTTTGAAAATGGAGGTTCCTAGGCGGACTTCGTCGCTCACGTCTGAAGGGGGGGTGGTTGTTAGTAGACAAGCCAGGGGTGTGAATGTGCAAGTGAACCGTTTTCTGTAGCTGGGGGGACAAAAGGCAAGAGCGCAACGTACAGGTTCCATACACCATACCCATTCCAAACTCAAGCCTGAGCGAACCGCCCGTGAACTTTGATGTCGAGGACGTAAAGGCATTGTAGCGCGGGCGATCGACACAATCATTGAACGCATCATTGTCCATCAGGCTGAAACAGTCTGGATTGAGGAAACTGTCGGGCGACCCGGTATCGAAGATGAGCGGGACAATCTGCTCGTCGTCTCCAATGGTAACTGTGAGACGAAAGCATTAGCCGTGGCGCTGGAGCAAGTGGTGATGCACATACCGTTGATGAGATAGCTCATGCCAGCGTCCTCGGTCCAGATGGGAAGCACTTCGAAGCCTCCAGAAGAAGTACTGCGCATCTCGCTCAGATGCCCCGCAGCGCTGCAGAGCACGGCGCAAAGCACTAGCAGGAGCAGGTGTTTTAGAGCCATTGGTCGTTGGACGCGCTGTGTGAAATCTTGATCGTAGTGTGGTTTGTGGGCGCTGGGCGAGTGTAGATGTGGGTTGTGGGATAGAGGGGATAGAGGCGAGTGCTTCAGGTGGCAAAGGGTTTTATTTTCCTTGTGCGAGAAAGAGCTTGTCAAGCGACCAAGTGCGTATCTGGTGAAGGTGAAGATGGAAACGGGTTGATATCATGCGAGACGATGACGAGTGTTGCAAACGGGGATGTGACAACGACACTGCGCATAACTGTCTTGAAAGTCTTGAGCACACCCCGTAACATGAGAATATACGGATAGAGATTTTGAACATGTGTTGTCTCGTAGAACGGCGTGTGATCATGTGTTGGTGCTCGTAACATTGCAGTTGCAGAAATGAAGCGATTGAATCGCAATTTGAGAGATATAGTCACAGAATTAGACGAGAATGGGGTTCGGTGATAGCGCAACATGTCATGGACAGACGAATAAATATGACCAATGTGTACGGTTGAGAAAATACACAGAGCAACTGATGGACGAAACGACAAGAGGAAAAAGATGATTATTGGGTGGAGAGTTGCAAAGACATTGTCAAGAAGACGAATACGAGATGTCTTACTATCCTACCCTCTAACTGTGAGTCTGTAGGTCAACGAAACACTGACGGGGGAATCATGACTTTGGCTCAAGATGAAATGACAACAGACATGCTCACGCTTTGATGTTGGTTTCCAAGCTAATGTCTTCTTCTTGATGACAACGGACAAGTGCAACGGCTCAATCCTTCCAAGACGTGAGATGCAACCCTTTGTCCGCCATTGCAATCCAGTCTTCGTACGTGATATCTTGCTTTCCAATTGTAAGAGCTATTGTGACACCTTGCCCCAAGGGGATATCGAGAAACTGCTCACATGATGCGAGCTCGACATACGTTGTACTCGACTACGCGTCGTCCTCATCCTAGGTAGTTCAATGCCATGACGGTGGTTCTCGATACCGGTGTGCGGAGTGCTTACCTCCGCTTGCAATTGAGGCTTAGACCGAACGGAGGTACTTCACAGGGCCAGATTATCTCCCTGATGTCTTATCATGGCGGGCAGTCCACATCAAAGGCCCCGAAGAAGGGTCTCGGTGAAAGAAAGATACTTTGGCTTGGCATCGTAGTGCATCTGCGAATCCTTGATGATGATCCCGGTCGAGGCTGGGAAGCCAGTGTTGTCGACAAGTCAGACACAAACACCAGTAACGGTGCTTACTTGTCCAACTATCCCTGCGCGTTACAGTTTGCCAATGCTAGCCTTACCGCTAGTTTTGAGTTTCGCGTGCAAGTGGTGGGTTTGGTAGACTACCGGTAGCTGAGGATGCTTCTGGGTTGTCGAAGATGGGAAGCGCACTGGGAATCTGGGATTAGGGCAACGGCAACGAGCTACTCTATGAAGAGGACCAGCGCAGAACCTAAAAGATGTCGGCTTGTAGCAATATGTAGTAAAGTAAAATGGGTCTAAACAACCTCTGGGACAACTGCATAGCTGGCGTTGAAAGAGATCCGGCGACAGAGTGAAGTTGGTGTGGTAGTTCGTAGTAGTGAATGTTCAAGTCTCGGTGACATCATGGCCGCACGTGTCATCAAACCGTCAGAGCGCCTCGCACGCTCTTCTCCATCCCGAGTTCTTTCATTTTCATCAAAAGCAATATACGGTCTGCCAATGTAGGATTTGCACGCTCCACAGAAAGCAGCTCGGGCCGTTGAGCACGTCAATAACTCGGTATCGAATTATGAAGTAGCAAAAGTCTATCTGCCGGCACTGGCTGTACTATACCTCGCTCGACCAAGCAAGGCCACAGCCTGCACAACACACAAGCCACACACCAAGCCATCCCTAATGGCAACGCTTCCAAGGTTCCCGCGAAAATCTGCTGCTCTTCTGGCGGTGCATGCATGTCGCCCGGAGCGTACAGAGGCAGCCATCCGTGAGCGATTTTCCCGATTGAAGCTGCGTGCGTACACAGGATTCTGCCCATGGCTGTGTCGGCTTCGTGATTCCAACATCCAATCCAAAAGTCATAGTATACCGGGACCAGTACATGGCATAGCTACTCGACCGTCCAGCGTCAGCAATTGGTTCCGTGGTGGTGGCTTGGCGCGCCCAAGACGGTGCCCATCCACTCGGCCTAGTCGAGATGATAGCAAGCTGACGCGGTCCGAATTGAAGCCATCTTCTCGCTCGTCTAATGAAGCCGTGTTGGACTACAGAGTACGTATGAATGCGTGCGCCAGGAGGACCGGCGTCTTTTGGGGGCACCGTCAGAGCTGCGCAATGCCAACGCCAAGTAGAGGATCAGCACCACGTTAGCAGTGTTTCAGCCACGACTTTGGGGAAGTCTGTCTTCGTCTTTAGGCTGTGGTCCCGCCAGATGCCGCCTTCGACGGCGCCCTGAGCCGACTTGGTCGCTCGACGCAACAAGGAGGCATTCTCTTGGGTCGTTGCACAACAAATGGAAGGCTGGTGGGCGCGACCTCTTGTGCTCGCTTGGTGGCTCGGCAGAGTGCAGCACCCACGCTGGAACCCATAGATAGGGAGGCTGCGGAAGGAGCCGTTGCACAGAGTACCGCAAATTCTGCTGGATCAATATTTCCCAGGTCCCGCAGGAAGCTCTCGTCTTTTGCGAGCGGAGTGCTGGGCGGAGCAACGCCTTTGTTCTGAAGCCCTTGGCGCCACTGGATGGCACGGCAACAACAGCCATCGGGAACACACCACTTGCGCAGCACACCGGAACCTGTAGCCAGCCATGGGCCCAGTCGGCGGCGCAGGCAAAAGAAGTGCGCATGTCCAGAGGGCGTGGAGGGAGCAAGAATGATGCTGTAGCTCGTTGCCGTGCATCCCGTGCGGTGGATTCGCGAAGGCTCATGGCAGTCAATTGACCGCGATTGGCCGTTCTTTGCCTGGTCTGCCTCCCCATCCCAAGATGCCCAGCATCAAAATGCTTGGTAGCCAAGTCGTTCGAGCGCAAGTCCATGTCACGATTTCATACCCTCTCCTGAGGCCTCTCTTATAACATGCGCTACATCTCGCCCGCTCCAGATGTCTTTTGGACTTCATCTGCGACTGCGACGTTGATGTCCATCGCGACGTAGCGTCACAGTTCCCTACAGATCTTCGCCAATGGAGTCGCAACCATCAGCACACATGGTGCGGGCCGCACCCCCCCAGCCAACCTCGCCGGCGCACCCCCAGTGGCCGAGCCAGGCCGCCTCGACCGAGTACAGCTACGGATACAACGAAAAGGACGACAGCAACTCACGACACCAGAGCCTCTACACCGATCGTGGAAGCAAGTCGAGTTGTTGTGGCCGCGGTCGAGACTCGGTCATCTCCCATCCATTCTCGCCAAAGCCCTCGTCCCCAAGTCCAGACAGCAGCATCTCCTCCATCATCGACCACAGCAAACGGCACTCCTCTGCCACTGACTATCGCCACTCGTCTGCACTAGACGGCCAGAACATACAATATCCACCAAGAGCCTATGTCGACCCGGAAAAGTATGGCTACGATCCATCCGAGCATCGAAACTCCTATCGTGCCGGACCAGGGGCTGATGCCATCGTGTATGACCAAGGCCAGTATCACGAGAAAGGGCCTGAGGAGAAGGCATGGCAGCTGCTGGTACGTAGCATGTCTCCAGTTGCACCTCGCCTCCCTTTTGACTAATGTTGCATGCAGTTCTATCTGTCTGGCCCCTGCGCTCTTCTTTCCGGTGCCATCACTCTCTGGACGATCGTCGCTTTACTGGTCTCGCTCGTGCTTGCACCCCTGCGACTATGCTCCACACGACCACCGCTTGCAGAACAGCTAAAGAACTTCCTCGCCCCGGCGCTAAACTTGCAGCTGCACCTCGTCTATTCCCACGACTCGGCAAATGACTATAGCGCGCCTATGCTGGTTGTCATCCACCTGTTCTCGCCTCTCGTGGCTTTGGGGGTCGCAATCGCTGCCTGGACAGCGGCCGCCTTTTGGTTCTTTTCCTCCATCCTCGGCGATCCCGGTGGTCATGACGGACACAATGACGGCAAGGAGAGCATTTTGGGCGTGAGGAACTGGTGGGAGCGATGGCTCTCGAGAGGACTGAGGGAGTCTTCAGCATGATGAGGCGACTCAGTTAAGACGGATGGAACGACTATTTCTTTCGGGCGCCCTGTGCAATTGCAAGGTCGACGTTTCAGCGGCATATCATCTGGCGCACATTGTTTGGGAGGGGGGCTTGCGCATGATGGAATGGGAGCACGGCGTTTTTTTCACGATCGAAAGATCGAGAGGGACAACAGATGCATGATTTGATCTGATATGATATACCCCACTTTGCATGAACATACAATACCACAAATGTACCATTTTCTACCCAAATGATTCTCCCCCTGGTCCCCCTCCCCCAACTGTGCTCTGTCCAAGCACCACATATCCAGCAGCTCCGCCCCACCCACTGCAAACTCTCGCCAACACAACAAAGTCAACATCACCCGGATGATCCCACAACTTCATCCCCAACTCTACCCCCTCCACCCCACACACAGCCCCAAAGCTTCCACCCGCAAACACAGTAAGCAACCCCCCCACGCCCAACCAATCCCACCGTCCACCCCGTTCAGATCCAACCAACCGCCCGCCAACACGATCTTCACCACCGACCAAACGTCCGCCCATACGATCCCCCCCCCCCTTCCACCACCGACTCACCGACCACCGGCTTGGCTGACTTGTTCACCTGGCTTCCGCAACCAACAAGGCAAAACGCCCAACTCACCGCCCCTCCCATGTGCGTGCGGCTGACTGTCCGTCCAAGAACCGCCAATGTCGACGCCCTATTCCGCCGACGCTAGGGACGTCCCCGCTCTGGGCGAAGAGGGCGGTAGAGTTGGGAGTTGGGCCGAGGGCTGGCCGAGGAACGGTGTGAGTGTGGCTTTGTGCTATGGGTGGAGGGTGGGGTATGTATTGTAGGGTGGAATGGTTGGAAGACTGGGGGGTTTATTTTTCGGTAATGTCTTGTGGTTAGTGGAGCTTACTGTGTGTAAGAAGATTGGGAGGATGGGTATGGTAGATGAGGTTTGATTATACAGAGGGATAATCTTTCTTCTCGGTCCTGTAGGTATGTAGACTGTAAATGAAAGATGTGTACAAAAGAAAAGAAGAAGAGAGAACACAATGACGTCTTCCTGACCCCTTTCCCACCCCGCAAATAATAAGAATAAAAAAACGTCCTCACAAGACACACGTGGGCACCAGCACCTGCCAGCACCACATCACTACGGCCCTCCTTCCCCCACCCCCAAGGCCAAGAACACACCTCCGCTTATCTTGATTGTTTTCTTCTCCTCCAAGTACTCCGCCCAAGTCCTTGGTCCCCCATGCAGGGACGGCGATTGCGTTCAACGGGCAGCGGTATAATTGGGCGCGCGGGAAAGTTTTCCAAGGCTGTATACGGATGCGCGGTACCATTGAGGGATCCGCCAAGTCTGCGTTCCAAGAGAAAAGAAAAAAGTTCGTTGTCGGCTTCGTTATCCATATCCTGTCGGTGGCCTTTTCGGGCGGACTCAAGACGGGTAGATCGGATGGGTAGGGTCTGGGGGAAATGTTACTGCTTGTTGTAACGTTGTGTGTTGGTAGGATAGGTCTCGAGGTAGCGTGAAGTGAAACTTTGTTAAGGAGCTTAAGTTGGCCAGAGTATAAGAAGGCATCAGGTGGCCGGTCGAGAGGCTCTCATTATTGTTTCGAACCTTGCACCCAACTTTGTACGGTGTTTTGATGCTCGTGGTGTCTGGTGCGGCAGTGTGTGCCGGATGTCGGGTTTTTGCGTCGCTGCTGAGACGCAATTGACCGGGTGGTTCGTCTCGGCAGAGGTTCACGGCGCCTGTGCGCGATATGTCACTGTCTACGGCTTACAAAACCCGTGAAGGCAGCATACATCTGGCCGCTCGGACAAGAGATCGCTGCTACACGGTGTGCATTCCAGTCATATAAGTCATGTATTGATGGCGTGAGAAGTGTTGGTTGATTCTCTATCGATAGAAATGCGTGAGGCGTTGACATGAACATAATTGCGTTATACAAATGGAAATATAGTAGCCGGCGAGCTTGTAGACAGGCTTCAAGTCGAGGCATGGTGGGAGTACTTTGTACTTCGCGTTGAAGGAAACGAATGACAACGGACGATGATGATCTTTCATCCCGAGCCGGGAAAGTCGAACAGTCTGTGGCGAAGCTGCTGTCTCGTGGCGGTGTTCGAGACCGCCCAGTCCACTATGACAGTTATTGTTCATTGTATCGTAACTTTGATACTCCTGGGTACGTCTATATAGTCGTCTATGCCTTCTACATACGTACCCACGCGTGTGGTCATGACGTAAACAAGTACCGGGACGTGGTGGAATTTGTAGAAATCGAATGGAAGTCAAGCCCATCACCTTTGGCCGAATGCAGCACTTTTTCGGACATGTCGATGTGACTCTTCATCATCCTAAGCGTTCTTGCTCGCATCAGCTCACGCTTCAGGCAATTCTTCAGGCATTGTTGCACCACTGAAGGGTCGTACTCTATGAGTTGTCCTTTGAAGTCGCCGATGGTGCTTGCTCTCTGTAAACAGCTTCTCGCGCTTCCGATTCGCTTCTGGAACACATGATCGAGAAAGGCGTATGAATCGTCAAAGGTCTTATAGCAGCTCTTACACGCAAAGGTCGCTCTATCATCAGTGGCCCGTGGATCCAGAGCTATATGCGACATGAATAGGATGTTTCGGTAATCAGGGAGTCCAGAATGTGCGGTTATGGAAATGCATGCATCGCAATGGAGACATGCTTCGCGGTCGTCACTTCGGCTGCTTGATTTCAACTTTTTAGTTTGGAGGTTGGTGGACTCCTTATCCTTCAGATTATGCCTGGCTTGATCTGCAAAAGGGCAGAATTCCACTTTGAACCGGGGAGGCGGAAGTACCGGAGTTGAGGTTGGCGATTGGAAGCGGGTGTACTGTTCGCGTATAGCGGTGAGACATGTCCTGCGAATACTTCTGGCAGTCTTGATGATCTCGTCATGAGATATGGGAGTCGGTGATGCAGCTAGAGCACTATCATACAGAGGTTGTCGAACCTCGTACTCTAGCCTAACCAGCTGTGCCGAGAGTGTGGTGAGGCATTTGGCTGGTGAGCTATCAGCATTGTGGAGACGGGCCACGAGTCATGCTTGCACTCACAATCTCCTTGCTCAAATCGCGCGCCGAATTTGGCTTTGCCTTTTTCCATGAGTTTCGGAACCTGTCGTCCGAGATGCAGAGCCCTCTCGACAGCATCTTGCTTCGTCTGGAGTCCAAAGCAATTCCATGCTGGTCGTGTGCGTAGATGTCGTGCTTGCCATTGCTTGTACGCTCCGTGTGCTTGCTGGAATTCGCGATCAATATCCCACAGCGTGAGAGAAGCGTGCTGTGATTCTCCCCATTGGACGGTCTTTGAGGTAGACATTAAACAATTAAGATTGGTATACAAAGAACAAATGATCGGTAGAGAAAGTAGGTGTTGAAAGACGCGAGAGACGACAACAGCCTCAAATGAGAGAGCTGCTAGACTGGATCGAGACAGATCACCTCTTACGGACGAGCAGGCCGACACAAGGATCTCAATTGAGTCGGAAAATCTGACGGTTTGCGTCCACAGTCAAGGCCAGTTCTGCAGCCTGGGTGCTGGCTGCGTTGGCCTTACATAGTACTTACGCCAGTGCCGCGTCACGATGCTGCAATAACGGCGGATCCAAAGCGAAAGCTGAGAGCGTGGAAATTGCGCAGAGAGGCTCAATTTGGCTTGTGGCGCATTTCACGTATGAAGGATTGCGCACAAGGCATGTTAGTTGAACGGATCCGGGTCCTCCATACTGAGAGCATGGGTCGCTAGACTCTCTATGGCAAGGAACGTGTGGCCATTGTGCAAAGATGTCAGTCAGTTGAATGCTACTCACAGCTTAGGTGCCAGACAAACCATAATTGCAAATCATACCGTAAGGCGAGCATCTGGAAGAGTGGCCAGGCGCAGGGGTAGACGAAGTGCTAAGAAGCGGTATGGCAAGCGGTGATGCTGTCGTGGTCCCTGTCCCCATGCAGACTAGTCTCGTACCAGCGGTAGACCTCCTGAATCGTAGGACAAAGACAGTATCAACAGCGACAGCAACAGCAACAGCAACAAGCAAAACCGAGTGCGAGGATTGCATTGAGAAGGGCTGTTCGAGGCGGCTGCATTGTTTGTTGATGTAAACAGTCGTTCGTTGATTGTGAGCGTATCAAAGTCGATGATGACGGAAACCCTCGAAACGGTACCGTATCGCCGAACCCGACGGCGCTTCTCCTTGCCCCGCCATTCTTCGCCTCTTGTCTGAGGATTCCGGTCTCAACCACGTAGAACGCCAATTGTAATAGACAAGCACGTTCAGTACCAGGAAGTCCAGTTGCATACTGCGAAGCGTCAAGTACACCATGTCCCACAGCCACTCACATGACAGCGCGTCACATTCGCATGCCGCAGCGGACCACGGCCACACCCACGAGATCCTAGATGGCCCAGGCAGCTTCAATGGGCGTGAGATGCCCATGATCGAGGGCCGAGACTGGGAAGAGAGGTCTTTTACCGTGGGCATTGGCGGGTATGCATACCAAACTCTGCCCAGTTTGTCGCAAGCACACTGCATACTTCCAGAAAGATATCTCGACACACATGGGCGAAGAATTGACCGGCGTGACTGACTTTGACAAAGACCAGTCGGCTCCGGAAAGACTGCACTTATGCTGGCTCTCTGTAAACGCCTTCGATCCCGCTTCTCGATTGCCGCCGTTACCAACGACATCTTCACGCGCGAGGATTGCGAGTTCCTCACAAAGAACAATGCCTTACCCGCGTGAGTGCGCTCCAGCACCCCTGGCTAGCATATTCGCTCACGCAACCATCCATAGAGAGCGAATTGTAGCCGTCGAGACTGGAGGCTGTCCGCACGCCGCAGTCCGCGAAGACATCTCCGTCAACCTGCTCACCCTGACCAACCTCCACCGCAAATTCGACACCGACCTCCTCCTCATCGAATCTGGAGGTGACAATCTAGCCGCAAACTACTCGCGCGAACTCGCCGACTTCATCATCTACGTGATCGATGTAGCAGGCGGCGACAAGATTCCACGCAAAGGGGGTCCAGGCATCACACAATCTGATCTATTGGTCGTCAACAAAATCGACCTCGCAGAAGCCGTCGGGGCAGACATCTCCGTCATGGAAAGAGACAGCCGGAGAATGCGTGAGGGTGGGCCTACGATCTTCGCGGTGGTCAAGAGAGATCAGGGCGTCGATGCCATCGTCGAGCTCATTCTGTCCGCTTGGAAGGCGTCAGGTGCCGTCCAGGCACGCAAAGAGAAATTCAACCCTACCTTGATGCAGGAAAACTAGGAAAATGCAGGCGTTAAAAATGGTCAAAGTGGCGTTTGGCTCGGCCATTTCAAAGACATACACATCCACTATGTACATGTGTAGACTCGTCAAATCAAGACTAAGTTAATCTATCCAAGTTACGCTGCTTCTAAGTAATTGATTTATAATTCATACATTGCCTCATATAGATATTGTTATTTTTGCAGCACACGTACCATTGAAAGGATTACCCTAGAGCATTTGGCGCTGAATCCGATTCTACACCACCAGCAATTGTACGTATTGAACTGGATCAACCGAATTTCCGCCAATCAAGAAATTATGATCATACTTCGAGGAGAGGAGCAATAACTTCTGAATCGTAATCTCCACGGATACTCAAGCAAGCTTACTGTAACGGCAGTGTGGTATGAAAATTATCCACATTTGTTATACGGCAAGTTAGCCATAATACTCAAGTGTAGTGTTCCCTTCTGATCCAAGAACCCTACTGAAGAGGTCAGGGTGCTGTATTATCACAAGTATTACTACAACATAGTTACCTAGCTGTAATCGATCTGAAAACTTCTGGCTGCATGTGATTGAGTAATGCACCCCGTCAATGGTCAACAGCAGGGACACACATGCGACTAGATTACTTGATTCTAGATGTGTTTCATTGGTACGAGTTGGACTGTTGCAAAGCGCCTTCCTTTTCTAAACGGCAATCAAAATCTATCATCGCCTTCGCCTCTTTCCTGCTCCCACAAAGATGACAGCTCCCCCATCCACACCCGCAGTACTTGAAGTGAATGACGAATAACCACATCCCACCCACCTAACTCATCTCTCCAAATACTTCTCTTCTAAATATGCGGCACATTGCCTTCCCTACCATCATTCCTCGTACGCCCATCTCCCCTCCTGTTCCCCACCCCCTCGTCGAACATGATCCGCCTCTGCAACCCCAAGTCATATCCCTCGGGCTTGTCAACCGGTTCCATCCTCACATCGCGCAACGTATCGTCGCTCGCGCGCGTCGTTTCCAAAGTTTTCCACGTCGGTGTCCCAGGCTGACTCTGCAGACGCGTAGAGCTCAAGCGAGTACTAGGGAAGCCCTGTTCAGACTTGCCATATCGCTGCTCGACATCCGTGTCCCAAGTGACAAGACCGCTCATTTCGCGGCTTGTGGCGCGCGAGAAGCGGTTGTGTTGGATCACGCTACCCCTCTTGGGGTCGATGTGGGCGTTGTTGGGTAGCGGTTCGGAGACGCTGAGGCGGGGGAGGGTGACGGGGTCGAGTTCCACGACGGGAGGTACATTTTGCCAGCGGTATATGAGTTCGAGAGCGGGGATGCTGAGGCCGTGGACTACGATGGAGAAGAAGACGAGGAAGTAGACTACGGGGACCATGGCGCGGATCAGGTTTTCCTCTTCGAGCGTTTCGACTTCATCCAGACTGGGGAAGAGATGCCGGGTGTGTTCGACATAGAAGACGGCACCGATGCCGATGGGGCCGAAGTAGCCCATGAAGAGGGCTTCTTTCCAGGATTTGACACTGTGCGGCATGAGCTTGTATGTGACCATGATGGCAGGGATGCGGCGGAGGAGTAGGACGAGGAGTCCAAGGGTGAGGAGTCGGCCGTAAGTGATGCCTGTGGTGTCCGGCTGGTGGAATTGATCCCATGGCATAATGGTTCCGATATACATGAAGCCACCAAAGTTCAACAGGACGTCGATACAGCTGTTGACTTCGTCGTGGCGTTGGAGGGTCTCGTCGAGATATTTACCGTTCCAGTTCAGTGCTGCACCGGCGCAGAAGCATGCTAGGAGGTCGTCGAGGCCTGTACAGCCACAAATGCCAATGATGAAGAGGCCCAGTGCGGTGGGGTAGAGGAGTAGACTCTCGGTATCGATCCATTTCCTGCGATATCTTGTTAGTAGTTATTCTCGAAGGATCTTGGAATGTCGCTTACTTCTTTAGTGAGAAGGTGACCATGTACATGCTTCCGATTCCACAGACGGCGCCCAGGATGACACCTGTGAAAATAAAGTACAACCAGCCTTCCACGATCCAAATCTCGACGGCTTGCCCCGCACCTCCTCCCAGTCGACCAACCTCCGCAGCTCGAGCAGCAATGCCTCCGAAACCGGGCTTGAAGTCAACATTCTCCGTGGGTGCATGCCTGATCAAGTAGGTTGCCAGTAGGAGGAACGGAAACCCGAAACCATCATTGGCGCCAGCCTCTGAGGAGATAATCTCCCGCAGCGCACGTGGAACGTACTTGTCAGCGAAGGGTCCCTTGGCAATGGCTTGCGAGAGTACGGGATCAGTGCAAGTGACCAACGAGCCGATGACCATGGCCGTCAAGGTCGTCAGTTTGGGGATCATGAGTTGAACACAGCCGGTTGTGCAGAGCCACATTATAGTCATAACGGGTATCAGAACCAAGACCATGTCTCTCCAGTGGTGCCATAGGTATTTTGCTGGCAGCTGGTAACCAGCTATCACAAGCTGGACCCCGATAACAACACGTGTGAGACCCTTGAACATGCTGTGTTAACTTTGGTTTGTACGTCAAGCATGGTCAAAAGCTCACCAGTGTTATGTTTGAGGTTTGGTCCTGTACAGCACTGCCCCATCGTTCACTGTCAATGAACTTTGCGGCAACTGGCCCAAGAGCAATACCGACCATCATAGCCGGCAAAGCCTCTCCAAGGAACCATTTCTGCTTGATCTTTACTGAGATGACGCCATACAGAATCGTGAAGGCTCCTGATGGAGGTGTAAGTGAAGGCTACACGGCGACAAGCTTGCAAGGAAGAGGTGTGTACCCAGAATCGAAATGACAATGTTCAGCTCGCTGACGTCAAGTGTAGGCATCTTGTCGAGAAAAGAAGCTGGCGTCTCCCCAGGAAACACGGTTATCGAATCGAAAGTAAAGTATGGCAGTCGCGAAAATGAACAGAACAAGTCGCAGCTCTATCGGTATAAGTTCGAAATCGAACTCTACTTAAATGAGAGAAAGAAGATCGCGTAGATCGAGCCAGTCGATCAATCAAAAGGGCATGGTAAGAAAATAGGGGAATGGTAGACAGGACTGGAAAAAGGACCTACGGTAACGTAAGGCCAGTCAACTCAAAAGAACGCAACAAGAAAGAAGCCAGCTTACTCTACAAGGGAGCAGCTAGTTTTAGAGGCAGCGACTGGCAACTGAAACAGACAAGCAAGGAGCCTGATACAACGTTTGCTAGTACCCATCCGCATTGAAGACATGGAAGTATAGGGCATGCTGCCCCAAGGGTAGTGTCGATCTCCCCAGTTAAAGCACTCATCTTGGGACATCTAAAACGCTAAGCGCCCGTATAGGCTCTCTCCATCGTGGAGGAATCTTGTGGAGGACATAGCGACTCGAATACATGGTGATGGGAGATTTGGAGATTGAAGCTCCAGATATGCATATCGATCGAGTGCTTGACTGCTCTTATCAGTCGCGTTTCCATCACTAGGCTTCGATCCTGCTTCATCCTGAGCCGTTCCATCCGCACAAAGTCACACTGATGCGCCTTAATTTCTGAAGGGAGGTGTACCTACCAGGTCTTGGAATGTGGTGGCTGGGCTTGGGAGAACCTTGGCTGAAGGAGCTGACGTCCGCCAAGGCCGATATGGTAACGAGGAGATCTTCAGGAGTTCGCTAAGATACCGATCAAGTGAGTCCAAATCCGTCTCTCCTTCACAGCCAGATCCAATGCTATGCCCTCGGGATTTCGACTTTTGCCGCCGCTTCACAGAGCCCAGCTGCATACCTGATTGGTAGTGAAGCTGCGAGAGTAACCATTGTGAATGCTTCGAGCGAGCACTTGGCATCGGGACGCGTCATTTTCTTCAAGCGCTATGCAGGCTTCGGGATCATGAGCCTGCGTAGAGTACGACCAAGGCTGTTGTCCCACAGCACGAGCGCAACTGCAATGGTGCCTCCCGTAATGGAGAAATGAAGTTGACGCTTGGCTCGCTCGCCAAGACGCTCCGCTGGATTCTCCCAGCCAGTCTGCTCCATGAGGGGACGACAAGCCGTTTCAGGTTGCCGATAACCGGTTTGCCCCACACCGAAGAAACAGCCACAGTTAGAGGTTGTCTGGGCTGGTGATCTGCGACGTGGCTCATCGCCGCCTCACTCGCACATGGAATTTTGTCGTACTTGGAGGCCTGGCGGATGGCGGAAAGCGGAATCTTGGCACGGATGTTGTTCATTTGGGGTCGTCGTGAATAGAATGCGGAAGGATGGGAAGGGATGCGTGAAATGGCAAGTATGACGCTCGGTGGTTATTTTTAACTGTTCTGCACTATAGGTACCGGTAGATTGAGTGTTTTTTCCCTTGTATTGGGCCTACAATGACTAGGTGGTTTGACGACTTGACCTTGTCTTGCATACTAGCATGTCTTGTTAGGTGGCTAAGTACCGTGAGTAACGGTATGTACTGCAATTCTGACGCCCTTTCCATCTCCTTGTCAGTGTCGGCGTTCTTGATACCACTCTACACCCATGCTCACCCTCATACATAAAACCCCACATTCCCTCTGCTCTCCCAGTTCATCACCCAGACATGCAACCATCAATGCACACACATCTGCGTGCATCGTACGCGCGAACAGCGAAACCGGTTTACAAACGCAATGAAGAGGCAAAGGCCAATATTCTACAGGACTAGCTCAGCTGTATGCAAGCAGGAAACTACAACGTCTTGCATGTTAGGCCATTGCACCAAGGGAAAACGTGTAAGATGTCTGCCAAGCGGGTAGAGTATAAATACTGGGGTACCGTAGAGTACTGCTTGGTATCTTGACATACCGTACCGATGTTTCCAAGTTACCACCTACTCCTCATCGAACACATCCTTTCCTTACCTCGACATGGCATATTCTATGCGCACGCCCTAGATGTCATGGTACTGTGTTTTGGCTATTTATCAATTTAGAAAGCTAAACTTCTATCAACAAGTACATAAATGGCTGATTTTGAAAAGAAGCAACACTGCACATGTAAAGGCCTCGAACACACGTTTGTGGTGGCACGCGCATGGACAGTCGTTGACGTAGCAACCAACGTCTACGTCCATCTTAGTCATTACAGTTTGCGTCCAACAGTCCTTCCACACCACGTACAACCATGAAGCGTGCACGCTGTGAATCAAATTCTGCGGCTCGACAAGGTTGCACCTTTGCGCAAAATTCGATGCCAGAGAACGTTGAACGTGGCTATACCGGTAAGCATCGCCGACTTGCGTCCAAGCCTACCCCGCCCTCGCGTACTCTCAGCTCTTCCGACGTGGTACAGCCACCCCAAACCTGCCAACAAGTCGACTGGGCAACCCGAGCGCAGTCCATTGCTGCCTGGATCAGCACCATCCCTTCCTATAGCGAGTCTGCAGGTTCCTCTACTGGCAACACTACCCAGGCGTCGGATACCATGTCAGACAGCTCAAGACTACGTAACAAGAAGACGCAAATACGCTCGCGATCGTGCAGTCCAAATAAGAAAAGTTCGCAGTATCGCAACACTGTACTCAAACCTACAAAAATCTTTGTAGATGTTGTCCATACTCTTCCGCCTGATATCGAAGCGCTCCTACCTAGCGGTCTACGCAATCTTCTCGACCTCCCGCATTCTCTACCAACTTCGGTCACTACAAATACCGAGGACAGCGAGAAAAGTGCGTGGACAAGAGAACTAGCGGAGAATGTCAGGCAGCTTGCAGCTGTATACCGGGACGAGTGCCGCGAGTTAGCAGGAAAGCCTGGCTCTGAGCCTGAATACCGGACGCACCTCTACGGTGACGTGGTGGAGAAGCTCGCCAGATTCTCGCCCTGGCGTAGGACTCTCATGGCCAACTGTAGCGATAAGTCGTGGCTGACTGGACTCAAGCCGCCTGCTTTGACTCCTATTCTCTCACTGCCCTGGCCCTCTTTAGCTGCGAGACCACAAGAGAATATGTTGCAGGAATTTACACCGGCTTCACTCAACTCTAACATCATGCGTGTAGTGCCCAGCAGCGAGCCCTCCAACTTGGCCTCTCCACCCACGTGCACTGAGGCGAGCGAATCCTCTGTTAGCAACCTGGACAACACAATAACAACGCCTAAACCTGACATTACAGTCGGGATTTCTCGAGAAGCTTTTAGTGACGACCATGCAAACCTGCTAGAATACTGGCAAGCTAGCAACCTAGTTTTCAGCGATCCACACGCCACCCAAGGCGATATGCGCTGCCCGTTCCTTATTATCGAAGCCAAGGGGCTGGTCACGCACGGCAATCTCATTGGAGCGCAGAATCAGGCAGCTGGAGGAGGAGCTTGCGCAATTCGATTACTGGCGTCGCTGGCAGCGCAGGATCCTAAGGTTGACGCACCGCGTATCGTTTTCAGCTGCACAACTGAGGGCGCCATACACGAACTTTGGATTCACTTTCAAATGGCAGACGAAAATCATTCGAAGCAACACATGGCTTGTTTGGGAGCGTGGAGGACTACGCTAGACCGTCATGCAAACGAGTTTGTGGCCGCGCTTGCGCTCATCTTCTCCTGGGGTGTAGATGTTTTCTATCCACAGATCAAGCAGGTGCTCGATAGGGTCCTAGATGCAAATCGAGTGGCTAGTTGAACATGATATGTATATCGTCACTACTCAAAAGGTAGCGGTAATGAGCAAAGCTAACACTAGCTGGTCCTCCTTCTCCAGCTGCTATCACCAGGGACCTGCACACACTCAAGGCTCTCCATGTCTCGCACCACGTCCTTCGCCTTGTCGTATTACGTTTGCCAGCATTTCAATGTGATCCCGCTGCGTACACGCTGCTCTTGGGGGAGTCGCCTGCTCCTAAATCGACGTGTCTCGGTTCACTGCCACATCCCTTGCTATCATGCGCGTTTGATCGTGAACCGACACTTCGACGGATCCAAGCACGGCTTGCCTCTTCATGAACGATTCCTACCCTATCGTCTCTTTAATAGCGTCGGAAACTCAGTATCCCAGCATGCACGCATCCTCAATGGCCAATCTCTAGTACTGTCAGTCATGTCATAACACTACCGCAAAGCGACTCAACATTACCAAGAATGCCACCACTACCTGGACGTAGTGTCATCAATCCAAGCCAATGAATGGATTGGGCGTTGTCTGTGTCCGTTCTCTGGCCAGGACTTTGGCTTGAGTCTTCAAGAAATCTTTGAGTGAGAAAGGCTCGAGCCTTCTGTGGATCTTCGGGTGACCTTTGGTCATTTTCCGGAGTTCGGTCAAGATCTCGAGAAGCACAGGAGGTGCTGGCACCCTTGGGTCCGTTGTCAATCTTGTGACTGCTTCGCAAGTCTCACGAACTTCCTTGGCCAGCGCCGCGAATTAGGTCGTCAACTCATGAAGTGTCCGCAGCGTCTCGGCAACAGACTGCCCGGGCGCGGTCATTTCCATCCTCAACGTTGCGACGTCGCCCTTCACGAGAAAGAGGTCCATTCTCATATCTTGGATGGGGCCCAGCGATGTGTTAATGTCCACTAGCTCATCTGGGATTGACTTGAGGTCTGTACAGTTCCACGTACACGGACCAGAGAAAAGACAACACGGTGAATATGGCGCCGACCATTGTCCAAGCTAATGGGAACCAGAATGCAAAAGACTCATTCATGATGGTCGAAGTCGAAGTGAAATTGAGCACGGGTTCAGAGAAAAAAGGTGCCAGGTGGGAGGGATGAGGAGAAAGAGGAAGAGAGCGGGCAAAGGGGCGGGCGATGGTTTTAAGGTGGTAGTAGCCTGCGACTGCACGTGCACGTCTTGCTATTGAATGATTGTTTTTGACGGCAGGAAGGCGTGTCCAAGTCGGCAGGCAGGTATAATCCAACTCTTACACGGCAGACTGTCGAGTTTCCAATGAATACACACTCTTCTTCAAGGCATGTAAAAGCATGGTGGAGAAGAATGGCAAGTGGTGGATTCCAGTGAAACCACATGAGCTTTCTACGAGCCACCTGGTACGTGAATGCCATTACATTGACAGGCGCGACATGTGTTTCACCCCCACCATCCTATGGCTCTCTGCCATGCGCCGTCAGTCATCTCTGGGGGACGCTTCCAGCCTGATCCCATTGCTCTCTAACGATTCCAGGTCTGTCATCTGGCGAATGCACTGATCTGAGTTCTTCACCATGATCTAAAATACTAGGCCAATGCCAGTTGAATGGCGTGCGACAGTCACCCAGCCCGCGATAGACGTGCAACTCGATGTTGTATCCCTTCCTTTCGCCTTGCCAGGATATTTCGATGCTATAGTCTGTCAGACAATAGGTACAGGATCCGAATGTAGGACCGCAGACCAGGAATTGGCCTGGTGCGGTTCCGCTCTTAGCAACCTCAGAAAGCTGCATGGGAATGTTCCCAATTGCTAGATGTTTGCACACTGAGTTTCCATAATTATCGATGTGTCTTCTGAGCATTTCTGCGTCGCCTTGTCGACCCCTTATAGACATGACTGACAGTACTAGAAGTTTGTCCCTGAAGATTCGAGCATGCTGGGATGTTACGGCTACTGCTCTTATATAATGAATGCTTTGGGCTCGTTCATCAAGCACGTGAAGAGGCAAGCCGTGCTCGGATCCGTAAAAATGGTGATTCATGACCAAGCGCGCATGGTAATAAGGGATGTGGCAGCTATTCGCGAGCCAGAGGTGGTTCTCAATGCTTTGCTTGCATAGTAGACGCTCATTGTACCACGGAGCGATAGATCTGCTCCAGCGTCCATGCCAGTGGTGCAGCTTTATACAAAGATGACAGTAATAGAGAGATGGAATATCTTTCTCAAGCAATAGCAACAGCCGTTCTTTTTCTGCCAAGGGCAGAGACAGACTGCTTCGTTCCCAGAGACCGTGGCGACCCCGGCAGGCCAACGAAAGAGATAGCAGGGCGCATTCGTCGAGATGTTTTGCGATCATCAGGATGATCTCCACCGGAAGATCCAGGGTACACCTCTCTGATGGAGCGCGCCTCTGCTGGAAAATTCTTGCCAAGCGTCGAACGACTTCCTGGGCGACCGTCACCACCAGCATAGCTGGATTCACAAAGCGGACATGGGGTACGGCGCGCCGAGTAGGGAGTAGGACTGGTAATGGCGACGCCACTTCGATGCGCAGGTGCAAGTTGTTGAGTTTTAGGATGTTTGCTCGGGTGGCTGGTTCTGCGATGTAATTGTGTGATCAGCGTTGACCTAGAGTTACACTTCGCCCACTTTGTGTGCTACGTTCTAAACGAACCTTGATTTTCTTGTTTTGCGGATAAGTGAAAGTGCAAAGAGCATAGCGGACCGGCAGACAGTGGCTTGCGCCTCGGAACAGGATGCTGGCTACAGTTGTCCGATGTTCTCCAAATGACTCGGATTCCGTAGCTCAAAATCTAGCAAGCCAGACTAGTAGCTCCAATTTCTCTTGTGTCATTCCTACTAATATTTGTCTTGTTTCATATCAAGCTGCAAGACTGGCAGTCAGCCATCTACAACATCGAGACCAAAACTCCACACAACAAATCAACCCAGGATCCAACCAACAACAATCTACGTACCCTCCAGAACAAAGGTAGAGAAGCAGATGCATACCTCGCCTACATTGTGCAGAATTATAGACAGCCTCCCTTGCACAATCGCCTTTGTCCACCCGCACAAAATTGGCTGGCACCCGGACAATGAAATGTATTCCAACCTCGTCTCTCTGCAAAACCTCGACACCGACTTCATTTAGAGCAAGGGGTTGGCGAATTTGCGTTGCATTCATGATCCTGGCTGTCCACACGAAGTCATGCTCTGTAAACAGGTTAGCTTTATCCGGTAATCGTGGCTGAAGTCTGTGGCTGCCTACAGTACTAAAACAGAAGTCGGCCCTCTGTTCGCGTAAGCACGGGCCCCAGCGCTAACGTTGGAACTGTGCGCGTGGTGCCCAGGCTCGCGACGACAGCAAACATGAGGCTATAGAGCCACACACAATAGTTACTATCGCGAGATTTTCTAGTGTATCAATCCAGAGAGCTAGCTCCACAGCTTTGCATTGCGGTTGTCTCCAAATCACACCACATCCACACTTAAGAGTAGCGATTGAGATAGTCGCTTGGTCACACCTCTTAGGCCCATCCAAATACTACAAATACCTACGGCGTGCACTCCATCGCCTCGAACCTTCGGTTCCAACAGTTCAATCTTTGTGCTCATTCGTTTTGTACGAGTGTCTTGTCCTGGTTCCAAAGATTCACACGTTGTCTGGCCAGCTGCCTATCCCTTCGTCTTCTCGTGAGCGCGCTGGTGCTTGTTTAGTCGGCGGGCGTCATGCGCTTGCCAGAGGGCCTTTCCACGATCCATGGAGTGTGCTTGAGTTTCAGCACCGGCATAGACAATTCACTCGTGTGCTCACAGTTCGCTGCAGATTGGACATAGCTAGAACGCCGCAGCTTGCACATGCATGTGGTTGTGCAAGCGAGCAATCCTCGCTGCGCTTGGCGCGCTCACCTCGCCACCCGGGCTAATTTCTCGGCTCATCTTTGCGTCACACCACAACGTCCTTCCCTCACCGACTCTCACACGCCTATAAACTGCTACATTTCCATGCACGCTTCGCACCTCGACGCCTCAATGAGTCCCCATCAGCGCGCCGACAGCTCGTCAATCCCCGGCGAATCCTCATCAAGCCGTTCCGGTGACGGCCCGCCCGCTCGCCCTGGATACATGACGGTTGGATCGGGGTCGACACCAGAGGCTGCGGCTCGCCTGATATCTATGCTCGGCCACGACTCTGGATACGGAGGCAGTTTGGTCGATGGAGACACGACCGGTCGGAGCTCGTATCCCATCATCGGCGAAGACAGACCTTCCCTCCCCCCCACATCGATTCTCACAAGCGCGGGGTTCGAGCAGGATAGACAGCGCAGCCATGTGTTGCAGCTGCGATATAATCAGAACAAGAATGCGCTGGCCCGATCGATCCACGGAACCATCGATGCGTTGAAGAGCTTCCAAGAGTACAATCTGAAATGGCCGGCGCATTACCCCTCCATACCCGCAGAGCCCAGAAACGTCCGCACCGACTCCCGCCCCGCACTACAGCATACACAATCCGCGCTGGCTGCCCCCGAACCGAACACTAGATTGCGTGGCCGGCCTCGACCTCCACGGCGAGCAGGCACATCAATTGCAACAGACATTGAAGCAGGCGAGTCTAGCGTAGCAGCTGCACAGGAACAAGCGCAGGAACCTCGCTTGGTCACACCGCAGCTTGCACACGATTTCTCGGTTCTCAAACTGGAATTACGCATGGATGGGCGCACACAAACAGACTTGGTCCATTCACTAGAAAGGGGCTCTATTGCCTCCCTTCTAGACAGCCAAATCCAGCAGAGTATTCGCCATCTGTACCTGATCAAGGAGAGGATTGAGGATACGTCAAGCAAGGTTCTCGTGACTGGCGACCTGAACGCAGGAAAATCTACATTCTGCAATGCGCTCCTCCGACGGAAAGTTCTACCAGAAGACCAGCAGCCCTGCACAAGTATCTTCTGCGAGGTTCTTGATTTCCAGGGGAATGCTGGCGTTGAAGAAGTCCACGCCATACCTATTGGATCTGTGTATAACCGCCGCGACGAAAGCACATACACAGTTTTCAATATAGGCGATTTGGAGAGGATTGTTACCAACAATAAGCGTTTTGAGCAGTGCAAGATCTACATCAAAGACGTCCGGTCAGTAGATGAGTCGTTGCTCAATAACGGCGTGGTGGACATCTCCTTGATTGATGCGCCTGGCTTAAACTCAGATTCGCTCAAGACCACTGCTATCTTTACTAGACAGGAAGAGATTGATGTTGTAGTGTTTGTTGTTTCTGCGGCAAATCATTTTACAGAATCAGCAAAGAACTTTATCTCAAGCGCGGCGAAAGAAAAGGCGTACATCTTCATGGTAGTCAATGGCTTTGACGCGATTCAGGACCAGCAAAGGTGTAAGGAGATGATCCTTAAACAAGTATATGGCCTTAGCCCGGCTACGTTCAAGGAGTCAAGCGAGTTAGTCCACTTTGTGTCAAGCAACGCCATCCCTATGATTACGGCAAGTCAGGACGGATCTCCTCCAGACGATAGTGATGATGATCCCTCTGGCAAAGGAAAGGGTAAAGAGGCAGAGAAGGCTCAGGACTTTAATGAGCTGGAGACATCACTACGACGCTTTGTGCTAGAAAAGCGAGCAAGGTCTAAACTAGCACCCGCAAAGACATACCTGCTCAACGTACTAGGGGATATCCACAACCTTTCTGCTCTTAACCAAGACGTTGCGGAGTCAGAACTGGCGCGGGTGAAGAAGGAACTTGACGCGCTTGAGCCAGACTACGAACAGTCTAAGAAAGCAAATACAGAGGCAGGGGAGTCTGTTGATCGAATAGTAGAGGAGAATACTTCAAACGTCTATGGTTACACACGCGATACGCTCAACAACTGTGTCTCTAACGTTGGGGGCGAGGATCTTGGAATTGAGTATCCTGGCATCTTCTCTGCTTACCAGTATGCAGAGGATCTTAGAGACTCTATGGTTCACAAAATCATCGAGACTGTGCGTGTGTGCGAAGATCACGCACGACGGCAGGCTGTCCAGGGTTACAATGGCATCAAGAACCTAGGCATTCTGCATCTTGGCAACGACCTCCACGCAGATATCATGTTCCGTCCAGAGAGGATGTTTAGCAAGTCTGCACACGTCCTTGCCCGCCAAGTTGATATTGAGATAGAAGCGTGGGACTTTCTTGACGTTAGTAGCCTGTGGGAACGTCAAGAGAAGGTTGCTGGTACAGGCCTAGCTGTCACTGTTGCTAGTATTGTAGGTGGCCGCTTAGTAGGTGGTGTTGGATGGCTGGACGGTGCTTTGGGCGCTGCGAAGATTGTGGGCTCGAGCAACCTTAGGAGACTGATCATTCCTGGTCTCATTGCAGGTGGTATGTTCCTATCCACATTCTAGATACGCTCTGGTTTAACTAACGACGTTGCACTAGTCGCCATTGGTGCGTCATATATCCTCGCATCTGTCCCTCAGTCTTTGCTCCATCGACTTCGTGCAAAGCTGTCAGCACAGTTAGCTTCCATCGACTACATCCATTTGAATGCCTTTCGCATTAGCTCTGAAGTTCGCCGTGCACTTAAAGGCCCTGCAAACGATGTCCGCGTCGGTTTCCAGCGAAACGTCGAAAAACTCCAGCTGAAGAAGGAAGAAACCTGCAAGATCAGGGCAGAGGCGTCTGACGCTAAAAAGTACTTTGCCAACCTCTTCCGCCAGAGCAGCGAGCTACGGCAGATGGTGCAAAGGATCGATCTGGATGCTACGCCACCCGCAGCCGTTAGTGTTGGTAATTAAAACTCCAGGCCACCTTTACTTGGGTCACGTTTGCAATGTGTAGTAGGTGCTTTGGTGGGGCTGTAACTTGGGAGAACATCGAACAGGCGTCTGAGCGAAGATTAGGGAATGGCGTCTCACGAATGTAACCGCAAGGACCTATTCTCTTACTGTATACAAACTCAATTCTACACTTCTGTGAAACCCTTGGGTAGATGTGTTATCATTACGAAAGCCTCCCACTCTGCACGATTCTGCATGCTTAACAAAGTGGACCCGATGTGCCAGACGAGATGCGGCCTGGATGGATTCCTACCAGGTACGGACCTTCACGCCATCCCTAGATAGACGCTCAATAAACTCCTGTCGGTGGTGACTGATGTCTTGTCGGCTGGAGCAGCACGCAATCGCAATCGCAATCGCGTGCAACACGCGACTGGTCTCAGCACCGTCGTCTGTTTCCGTATTTCGTACTACAGTACATTTTGAAATGTAACCAGGATAATGGCGAATTGAACCGGCATCTCTATTTCCACTGTCCCATGGTCGTATGTGAAAAGAGTTCAGCTCTTGATACCACTGGATTGTAGATATTGGGTCGTGGCCACCAGGGCAAGTACTTCAAGCTGGACGTGTGGCTGCGAGGGCCAATAAACGAAAACTTCTACGTCACAACGAGAATACGCGTAATCAAGTACTAGTCGCAACAACAGGAGTGTTCAGGGACTCGTTGTTCTGGATGAGAGGGTTTTGCTTCAGGATGAACGGGCAACACACCACAGAGGAGTTTTACTGCTAGCAAAGAAAAGCACAAGTAGCAAACAAAAGTAAGTGAAAATTGCAAGTAAAACCTAGCAGCAGTAGCAGTAGTAGTAGTAGTGGGTAGTATAATACAAATCATTGCGGTTGGACCTCCCCCCTTCCCTCTACCCAAATAATGCTTACCCGTCATCGCTCTTTCCACTCTCCCAATAGGAAAAGGAAAACAAAACGCCTTTTCGAATCTAACTAACCAACCCATATTCGTGTCTCCAAAAATGCTCAAAAATGCAGAATCGCCCGTTGCATGAAAACGAAGGAAAAAAAAAGCATAAATAAGAGAGGGAGGAAGAGAGGAAGAGAGAGTGTGGGACAAGGACAAAGGGAAGAGATGATGTGAAAAACGACTGGACGCAGAACCAAGACACTCAGGAATGGGCTGCCAACTTCTACTCCCACGTCTTCTCGAACCCGCCAGGATCTCCTCCTTTCTTCCCAATGGCTGCTGGGTCGGTCGTACCGCTGTAGAGGTAATAACCTTTCACTGCCACTTCTGCTTCGTCTCGTCATAGTTTTCGTTCGTTATTGATTCAAGGAGACACATGCGCACAGCTCTCTCACCGTACCATTCTCTTACTGCGTACAATGAACGGACTTGGCATCTCCAGCTCTGTGTCTGGGTCCCAAACTGCAGGTGGGCTGGCACCGCCGCTCCGACCCTTGAGAGGGCTCTTGCGGCCAGCGTACCCGAAGCCTTTCCTCACGGCTCCTTCGTCTTCACTCATCGTCTGGGCGGGGATGCCACGGGCCTGCTGCAGCTCAACCAGCGTGCGACCCTGGACACCGCCGTTGTTACGCATGGCTTGTATGCGAATCGCCTCATTACCCTTCTTTGTCGGAAGCCCGACATGCGGCGCAGATTTTGTTGCGAGACCGGCCTTGCGTGGTGATGTGGAAACGAGGTCTGCACTAGACTTTGGTCGTGCGCGGGCCGGTGATGTGGCGACGATAGGGACGGCGGAAACGGGGCGAGGCTTCGTACTCTTGAGATTCAAGAGGCTAGGTGTACTTCCTAAGCGATGTCCAGGCTTTAAGAGCGGTGCTTGAGCGTTTGCAAGAGCTTTGAATGGATCGTCACCGTTGACACGACCGCCAGATGCGTTGCGTGCGCGTGTTGGAGACGGTAGAACGGGAAGGTCATCGTCGTCATCGAAGTCTCCGTTCCATTCTGCTTCCGTTGGAGATGGAGGAACATCTGCCTCCCACTTCTTTGCACCTTCCTTTGCGGCGGCGAAGATGTTGGTGCGTGTTGGCTGATTTCGTCGTGGAGAGAGAGAGAGGCCTGCGAGCGAGGGTGGGGCGGGCGACGGCTCAGCCATGTGTACGTCCATGGGTGATGGTGGTGCTGGTGCTGCGCACATGGTGCGGGCACGAGAGAGAGGAGCTCGAGAAGGTCGCTTGGGCTTGGCTTTGACAGTGACATCCTCGCTCACGGAGTCATCCAGAGATAATGAGGAGAGGTCTGTTCCGCTCGCAAAGTCGGAATTGGAATCCAACGTGCTGACTGAGCCATTGGCAACCTTGTGCTCATCAGCAGGGAACAAGGTCCCTTGCTCTGTCGCTGAGAGCAGTGGTGTGCTCGATCGTGGAGCCAGCCGTGGTGATGTGCTCAGACGGTTTGGATATTTCTTTAGCGCTGCTTCCACCCGCTTGTTGACCTCTTCTTCGAAGGCTGACTGCAGATGTGCCAGCTCTCGCTGTACCCTGTAATCCGTCTGGAGCTTTACCTGTCGCTCGATCTCCAGCTGTGCTTTGACTTCCCATTCTCTTCGCAGCTGGTCATCAATTTCCTTTCGCATCCTCGCGATCGACTCGTTCGCCTCTTTTTCTCGCCGTGCTGTCAGCAATCGCTGCTCCTTCAAATCCTGCCCTAGCTTGACGACCTCCTGTTCCTTCCTCATCAGCTTTACGATAGGCAAGTTCAGCAGGGCCGCAGTGTCTGGGCGGTGGTCGGGCGTAGTCTGTAAGCAGCTGGCGATGACCTTGCGTAGTTCGGCGGAGTAACAGGAGGGGATGTCAGGGTAGCGTCCCAGCTTGATCTTGGAGATGAGTTCGAAATGGGTCTTTGCGTTGAATGGTGGCGTCTTCGCACACATTTCATAGATGATGCATCCAAGGGCCCAAATGTCCGAATGGGGACCGTATTGCTCCGCCTTGCAGATTTCGGGTGACATGTAGAAGGGTGTGCCGACATAGGTCGAGGCGAAATCGTGCGATTGGAGGATTTTGGAGAGGCCAAAGTCACCGAGCTTGACCGAGTTGTCGTCGCCGAGGAAGACTTGATGTTTGTTAGCTTGTACAATCTGGCTCAGAAGTGATTCTGCCTACTGTTCTCGGGTTTGAGGTCACGGTGGAGGATCATGGGTCTCCGCGGGTCACGAGCAGGCTTCGCATTGCCAACCAGACCCATGACGTTGCGGCCAGCCGCTGGAGGGTCCTCGCCATAGTGGCAGCGGTACAATGCGCTGACAATCTGGCTGAAGATGCTCCATACAAACTCTTCTTCACACATTTGATTTTTGTTCTTGAGGTCTCGAATGACGCGCCCCAGGTCGCCGTTGCCGCAATATTCCATGTAGAGGTGCAGGTCCTGCGAGGCCTTGATATGGTCTCGTTCGAAGTAGGCGACAATGTTCGGGTGACGCAGTTCTTTCAGGATGGAGAGTTCGGCCTGCAGTTGTTCGCGTTCCTTTTGTGACATCTTCAGGTAGCTGATTTCCTTGCGGCAGAGAATCTATCAGACGGTGGTTAGCTGCTGAGACAAGGATGGATTCTGGTGGAAGGTGCTGTCGTACGTAGCCATCCGACTTGCGCTTGACCTTGCGAATGATGCCAAAGGATCCATGGCCTAGTTGGCTGTCAGTTCTACTCGATGATCTCCCGTGAGGGTGGGTGTGCAGGCATAGCGCACCAATCTTCTCCAGCACATCGTATTTATCATCTTCGGGCATGATGATGGATAATGCTAGTAGTGCATGTGAGGGAAAAACAACAGCTGTGAGTAATGGCTACAGGAAAGGTCGAATGCAGGCGAAAGTCATCAAAGGAACAAAAGGTGGATTATTGGATGCTCCAGGTGGGATGAAAGCGTTAAAGACAATGTGGTCCTTGGACGCGCGGAGGTAAGTTAGGTAGAGAGGACTGGCGAGTGTTTGGGGGGGTGGGGGCCGCTGTTTACGCTAGCTGGACCAGGCCGCCGTCGAACCAGCAACGGGCGAGGCAAGGCCCATGGTCTGGCGGCCGAAAAAGCATGAGCACTGAAAAGGTCCCTTGGAAACGTCTGGCACGCGTCAGAGTCCGTGTTCGCGTCAGCCAGCAAGCCCGTCGGCCTTGACAACACTCTGCACCAGTCTGTGCCAGGGTTTGGCCGCTCTGTTTTTTTTTGTTTTTTTTTTGGACGTGATCGGATACGGAAATGAAGTCAGAGGCACACAAGCAGCGCAGCCAGCAAAGCATATTGCATAGTAAACTCCGATCTCCGCCCCCACTCGTCATAGCCGCACATCATTCGCAAACAGCGCTGATGCTAGGTGGCTAGGTAGGGTAGGTTACTAGGTACACACACACACACACACACAAACCATGAGTCTCCGTCATTCCCCTTTCACTCCCCCCCTGTGCGCGAGACCATGGATGTCAAGAAGAAGCACGAGATCGAGGCTGCTCTTGCCACCGAGGCCCAGGCCATTTCAGCCGGCCAGCTCAAGGAAGAGAATCCGCACGATCTCAGTGATGAGTTCAGGGCCTTTTGCGAAGCCTGCAGAAGAGGCGACCTGAAAGTCTGCCAGGAAATGATCAGTACGGGCGTGAACATCAACTCGAGAGACAGTTACGATTATACCCCACTAATCTTGGTAAGCCACACCCACACTCCACACACACCCACACCCACACTCACATCCGCGCCAACACCATAAACTTTATCTCGACTAGCCCCCTGGCTCCGTCCGTCCCGTGCTAATGGCAAAAGGCTAGTCTTTGTGGACACTACGAAGTCATCCAGTTACTGCTTGAAAACGGGGCACTGTGCGAGCGTGATACTTTTCAAGGCGAGCGATGTCTCTACAACGCCCTCAACGATCGCATACGGAACCTCCTACTCTCCTACGACTACGCCAAGTCTAGCAATCCCCTTCAACCGCTAGCCGCGCACATCACATCGCTTCTGACAAGAACCGCGCCAAAGACTACCGATATTACCATCACCGCCTACCATCAGACTTTCCACCTCCACAAATTCCTCCTCGCCGCACGATCACCCTACTTTGCAAAGAAGCTAGCCGTAGCTCCTGCGACTGCATCCTGGAAGCTCCCCCACAGCATACCTGCAGAATCTCTTGGTGTCGCGTTACAATATCTGTACTTTCAAGAAGTCTCCATACGACGAGCCTTGTTTGGCTTGAGCGATGAGCAAGAGCTGGTGGTCCTCAACGGCATCGATAAGATCGGCAAACAGCTCGAAATCGAGAGGCTGTTTGAAGATATCACAGAGGTCTCGGATCGACGGCTACTTCGTCAGCGAAGGGCAGAAGAGCTGGAACGCGGGCGTGATCAATTGGAGCAATGGTTCAAGGAAAATGTGCTTCGACACAAGCGAGTCGTAGACACCGACAAAGTGGACAATATACAATGGGACAGAGAAAATTCCATCTTTGCGGACATATTACTACGAGCAGATGCCGATGATGAGGTGGATGCTGCAGCAAACGGCGACCACACCGATCAGCCATCCGACGCCTCCAAACCCATACGAAATACCCCAGGGCCACTCCTAGGAATACCTGTCGGGCCAGTACGATCGCGTTCACCCTCACGCAAACGCGCCCCTCGCAAATCTACAGTCTTTCCCGCACATCGCGCCATGCTTCTTCGTTCAGAATACTTCCTCACCATGTTCAGCTCGCAATTCAAAGAAGCACAAGAGACCCCCCACCTTCAAGTTGTAACCATTGACTGTTCGCCCGCCGTCTTAGAAACAATCCTCACGTTCTTGTATACCGAGCGCGCAGAATTTGGCCTCGATATAGCAATCGATGTGCTCTTCGCCGCAGATCAGCTCTGGATCGAGAAGCTCAAGCAACGCGCTGCCATCATCATCTCAGCGCTCGGTAACGGGTCAACATCAGCTGTCGAGGCAGACAATTCCCGCGGTGCGACAGATGCAGATGAGGCTGTGGACATTTACGAGGTTATACGCGCAGGATGGGATACGCGCGTTCAACGGCTAGAAGAATTTGCTGCGCGCTACATCGCCTATAGACTGGAGCACTATATTGACCAACCCGAGTTCGCAGAGCTAGTACAAGAGTCTGCCAACAGAGTCAAGGCGCGTCAGGAAACCGACACGGTCGAACTCGTCGATGATATCCGATACTATCTCTCTGAGCGATTCAGACTTCGCTTCGAAGACAGCGGGCTAGACGAGATGATGGATGAAAATGCGGCGCTCAAGGCTTCTCGAGCTGATCTCGCGGATCAGATGGGCGAGTTGGAGCTCAATGCAGAAGCAGAAGACCGTGTGCCGATTGAGCAACAATTAGCCTCTGGAGCTGTGGTCGATCTGGATGGAAAGCCAGTTGGAGACGAATTCATGCAAGATGCGATGAATTATCAGATCTTGCTGGGAAAGATTGACGCATTACTTGAGAGGCTCAATCTTGATGCGTAGATGGATAAAAATAAACGGAGAGTAATCTTAACAAATTTTCAATTGCCTATAATTGTCTGTGATCATGATTCATGTTTGTAAATGCTGTTGGTGCCGGAATTTCGCTGCTTTTCTATAGCATTCTCAAAAGCTTGCACGTGTGTGAGGGGAGCTTTGAGAGACTCCTGCCAAGTTCTCTACCGAACTGGTTGATACTACTGGGTTGAGGTTGTCAGGAAGTCAAGATTAAAATAGCTTTTGCGTGGATTATTACAAAAAACCCCAAGGAGGCTACATTCGCGCAGAGACGTGAATTTGGTGTAGCTGTGATACTAAAGGTACGTGGAAACATCAAGGTGACATCATGGGCGGGGTAGGTCGCGCGGGAGGCAGTGCCCCACCATCTTAGGAACTCAATTGTTGACAGATACTAGGGCAATTCATAATGCGTAGTCTCGCTCGTCCTTCACTTCTCCGTTCTTCTTTGATTCAATCAACTCCAGTACGAGCTTCAATCGCCTTACCACGACTGACACCAACATACACGGCCACAGGGCACTGTAGGAGGGAACCATTTAGCATCTCAAGAGAACGAATTGCGAACATGTCAACAGAATCCACGCAATCGAAAGCATGCTGCAATACGCCTGCAGTCATCAGCAAAGGCTACACACCGAAAGGTGAATATATCGATGTCGGCGGTCACAAAACATGTATTCGCTTTCCTCCGTCCCACATTCCAATATATTCACCATCACTAACCACTCGCAGACGTCACTGGTCCTAGCGACGCCAAACAAGCCATCTTCGTCGTCTTTGACATCTTTGGCTTCTTCCCACAGACGCTGCAAGGCGCCGATATCCTTGCCTACACGGACAAGGACCGCCCTTACCAGGTCTTTATTCCCGACTTCTTCGATGGCAAGCCTGCGGATATAAGCTGGTACCCACCGGACAACAAGGAGAAGGAGGCCAAGCTGGGTGAGTTCTTCAAGACTTCTGCAGCGCCGCCAAGGGTATTGCCCCAAATTCCGAAACTTGTGGAGGAGTTGGGAAGGAAGAGGGGTGTGGAGAAGTGGGCGATTTTAGGATACTGCTGGGGTGGAAAGGTATGTAGGATGTCATCACTCCTCATGGGTACTGCTGGAATAGTTGTGTCTCGCTAACGCGCAGGTAGATTGTCAATCTGTCGTCGATGGAAGGTACACCATTCAAGGTCGCAGCGGCATGTCACCCAGCCATGGTAGCAGCAGACGATGCGCCTGGCATCACAATCCCATATATTATGCTCCCATCTGGCGACGAGCCCAAGGATGATGTGGAGAAGTGGGAGAAGGGGCTCAAAGTGCCGCACAAGGTGGAGTGGTTCCCAGACCAAGTGCATGGATGGATGGCTGCTCGAGGTGACTTGGAGCAGCCAAAGGTCAAGAAGGCGTACGAAGAGGGATACAAGATGGTGTTGGATTTCTTCCACCAGCACATGTGAGTTATTTGCCAGTCTGGGAAGATTGTTGCAAAGTCTGTGAGGGTGCATCATGCTGAAGCTGATAGGGACTCTGATTCGAAATTGTAGATAGTTGTGGACTAATGCGAATGGGAAGTTTGATTTCGAGGACGCAATGTGCAAACCAACCCGAAAGTTGCACTGCATGGCAACCCCACAAGCCCAGGCCGTCGTGGCAACAATGTGGTGTCGAAAAGAATTGTAGTAGTAGTCCGCCCCCAAGGAGAACGAAGTCTCCCCGGGTGATGGACAAGGCAAGTGTGGGGCAATGTACAACCGTGGGGTAGGCTCGATCGGGCGTTAGCGTATCTACTGGCGCAGAAGCCTGGACCACATCTGACGGCCGAGGGGACCGTCGGCAATTGATCACCTGCGCTGGCCTCGCAGACGGAACGTCTCAGGTTATTAGGGATGCGAACTGCTGTGGACATTTGATCGGTCACCTTCGCTCTCTTGAACAGACTCTTGTATTTGTCCTTCCTCTTCTTTTTTGTCTGTACATATAGTCCCATCATAGAATATGTCTTTTTTACCCGCGGATCTAGCGATTGGTATGTTTGCTGGCTGTTTTATCGTCTCCCCTTGCGACTAATTGCTTCATGCCCGCGCGTCTCCACATTTTCCGTCGCAGCACCGCATTACACTCGCCAGTAACTAATCCAGCATCACAGCACCCATCGCAGGAGCAATCGCGGGTGTAACCGCAGCAGCAGCCTACATTGACGCAAAATACCACATCACAAAAGACATCAGCGCTATACGAGGTCAAAAAGCTACGCAACGTGCCCTTGATAAGAACGGTATTGCTCTCCTCTAATCACGCGAACCCCACAGTACTGATAATGAGCCAGCAAAACCCCCCAGCCAATCTCTCTGGTACCAGTTCGAAGCCCAAGTCCGTCGTCTACCCGCACAAGATGAAGCCATCTGGTCCCGTAACGGCTGCTACACCTGGGCTGAGACCTATGCCAACGCCTGTCGCTACGGACAATATTTGCACCGTGAAGGCGTGCAGCCGGGAAAGCTGTTTGCCATGTACATGATGAACAGGCCCGAGTTCTTGTTCGCGCATCTTGGGTCATGGGCCATTGGCTCGGCACCTGCGTGGATCAATTACAATCTCGCGGGTGATGCGCTAGTGCATTGCCTAAAGGTTGCCGGCGCAAAGATCATAGTCGTGGATGAGGATCAAGAGTGTAGGCAGAGGATCGAGGACGTGAGGGACAGGTTGGAGGGAGAGTTGGGCATGGAGATTAGGATTCTGGATGCGGAATTGAAGGGCGAGATCTCGAGATTAGAGCCTGTGCGGCCAGGAGATGAGATGAGGCTTGAAGCAAAGGGGAAATTCCCTCTCTTCTTGTTCTACACAAGGTCAGTAGACATTGTGGTGGATGAAATGGGAGTGCACAGCTAACATAGACAGTGGCACGACTGGCCATCCCAAGGCTTGCCCCTTCGAAACACAACGAGCAGCTGGCCTCACTGGTCGGGTCGGAGCGATGAACCTCAAACCAGGTCCGAATGGGGACCGATGGTATGTCTGCATGCCGCTCTACCACGGCACAGGCGGCACCACAGCCCTTGTCTGCATGGTCACTGGCCTCACATGCTGCATCGGCACCAAATTCTCCACCTCACGCTTCTGGACCGACGTGCGTGACTCCAACTCCACTGCTATCGTCTACGTTGGCGAGACCGCACGCTACCTCATCAACGCACCGCCCAGCCCCCTCGATCGCCAACACAAGGTCCGCGCCATGTTCGGCAACGGGCTGCGCCCCGATGTCTGGCACCGATTTGTTGACCGCTTCGGCATTGAACTCGTCGGCGAATTCTTCAACAGTACCGAAGGTGTAATGCAATTATTCAATGGCTCACGTGGGCCCTTCACGGCTACCTCTGTCGGCCACCAAGGCGCCATTGCCCGCTGGCAAACCCGCAACGTCTACGTCCCCGTCGAAGTCGACATGATCACGGGCGCCCTGGCCCGCGATCCCAAAACCGGCTTCTGCAAACGCAAATCCTATGAAGAAGGCAGCGAAATCCTCGTAGCCATGCCCCACGAAAGCGCCTTTGTAGGCTACTACAACAACCCCGCCGCCACCGAATCCCGCTTTGAACGCAACGTCTTTAAGAAGGGCGACCTTTACTACCGCACCGGCGACGCCCTCCGTAGAGACAAGGACGGCCGCTGGTTCTTCCTCGACCGGCTCGGCGACACATTCCGCTGGAAGTCTGAAAACGTATCGACAGCCGAAGTCAGTGAAGCCCTCGGCTCCTTCCCTGGCGTCCTCGAAGCCAACGTCTACGGTGTCGAGGTCCCAGGCCACGACGGGCGCGCCGGCTGCGCCGCCATCCTCATCGACTCGGCCCTACAAAACAACTTCGACTTCCACGCCCTGCTCAAACACGCGCAATCCAAGCTGCCCCGCTACGCCGTCCCCGTCTTCCTGCGGGTGCAAAAGCAGGCGACGACGATGCATAATAATAAACAAAATAAAGTGCCCCTTCGCAATGACGGCATCGATCTCCGCAAGATTATGGAGCGGGCGGAGAAGGAGGCCAAGGAGAAGGGCGAGGAACCCCAGTATGATACGTTGTATTGGCATCATCCTTCGCTCGGTAAGAATATGAAACCGGGTGGGTTGGCGGAGAAGGAGGTTGGGTATGATGTTTTCACCATGGAGGATTGGGATCGGGTTAGGGGTGCTGCGGGCGGGGGGGCGAAGTTGTAGGTTGTTTTTTATGGGGTGGTGGTGGTGTATGGGATTTTTCTGTTGGCTTACTTCTTGCTGTTGTAAGAGAGGATACCGTAGTTTAGATTAGCGCTTGTTTTTTTTTGGTTTACTTTTAGGAGGCTTTTTTATGGTCATTGAGATGGATGTGAATGTCTTTTTTCAATCACTTTGTCCAATTTTTTTGATTTGTCCTTGCTTTTCTCGGCTTCGTTTCTTTCGTGTGTGAATGCACGATGAGGCAAGGAGGTGGAGTCTGGGATTTGCGCGTTGATGGGCTAAGTGTTATTTGTTTGCTCACTGTCTGGTCAAACACGGGATTTTGTGTCTGCGTCTCGGGGTTGCCTGCATGTGCCTCTGCATTTCGTCCCTTCCTTTTTGGTACGCATTGTTTGCTTTGATGGCAACACGAATGCTTGAATATGCATGTACGTTCACCGCCACAATGATTGGGGGGACTGAGATGGTACCGTTTCATCGTTTTTGGGTACTTTTGTTTGCTTTGATGGCGATGTAGTTGTACGGGTGTGGGTTTGTGTTGAACTTCACATTCACCGCAAATACTATCGAGCTGACTGAAAACAGGTCTGGCTCACCGACCTTCTATTTATCTAGCCTCCTTGCGCCTTCTCACTCAGCTCTTCGACACTCGACTTTAACAATTCGCCCTACCAAAAACCCACTGCACACTCACAAACACAGTGCTCTTCAACATGTCGGTCGAATCGTCCACTGACTCTGACTCTGACTATGGAGGCGCTGATCCTCCAGTTGCGCCAGTGGCAATTGATCAAGATGCGGTCACTACGAGCTCGTTACAAGCCCTCCAGTCTGCAGATCAGCGCAAGGTCATGGACATCGTGGACAAGCTACGACGAACCGGGCTCAATGGCATAGTTGAGCTGCCCCAGCTGATAGTCTGCGGTGACCAGTCATCTGGCAAGAGCTCTGTGCTTGAGGCGATCACGGAGATCCCATTTCCTCGCAAGGAAAATTTGTGTACGAGGTTTGCGACTGAGGCAAGTGCGCTTTCGTATCCAGTCATGAATTCCATTAACAGGTTGTAGATCATACTGCGTCGCTCACCTGAGTCTACGAGCAGGATTACGATAACTCCCGACAAGCTTCGCCACAAGTCGGAGCAAATCAAGCTCAAGTCATTCGGCAAGACTATTAACGACTTCAGTCAGCTCCCAGATGTGATTGAAGAGGCCACCCAGGCTATGGGTCTTGGTGTTGTTGGTGGAATCAATTCAAGGGCTTTCTCACGCGACGTGCTTTCAGTGGAGATTACTGGTCCGAACCGACCACAGCTGTGAGTATATCACCACATATATCAGATATTCACTAATGTACTATAGTACACTCGTCGATTTGCCGGGTCTTATCCACGCGACAAACAAGGCACAGACTGAGACGGACAAGGAGTTGATTCTTGACCTTGTCAAAGAATACATGAAGAACCCACGTACGATTATCCTAGCCGTCGTCAGCGCAAAGAACGACTATGCCAACCAAATCATCCTCGATCACTGTCGTAAGATTGACGAACAAGGCCGCCGTACACTTGGCATCATCACGAAGCCTGATTTCCTACGTGAAGGCACCGAAAATGAACTCAGCTGGATTGACCTGGCTCAGAACAAGGACATATACTTAGAACGCGGATGGCACATGCTCAAAAACCGTAGCGACACCCAGATGAAGTTCTCATTTGAGGAACGCAATGCTGATGAGAACTTGTTCTTTAGCAAGGGTCGCTATGCCGATCTGCCCCGCGAGTGTGTTGGTATCGACTCTCTTCGCGAGCGTCTGAGCAAAGTCCTGCTGAACCATTTAATCAAGGAGTTGCCTTCTCTCAAGGATGAGATGATGGCCAAGCTCCGGTGTACCCTCGACGAAATTGAAAAGCTGGGCGAGAGGCGCAACACGACCCATGAGCAACGCTTAGTTCTTATGAAGATCAGTATGCGTATCAGCGATATCCTGAAGTCCGCCACAAAGGGTTATTACGAGGGGTCTTTCTTCGGTGATATCAATATGGACGCAGCAGTCGACGATTCCCAGAATATTCGTCGCTTCCGCGCCGTAATTCAGCACCTCAACATGAACTTCGCCCAAGACATGCGCCTTCGAGGCCACAAGTATGCAATCACTGCCGGACCGGGTGACGATGAAAAGGAAAGAGAAGAAGAAGAAAAGGCCGCGGAGGAGTTGGCGGGTCTGCAAGAAGAAAACGAACAGATTGTCCTTCCAGTACCTACGAAGCTTACCCGTAAGGAAGGGATTGAGTGGGTCAAAAAGACACTGGAGCGCTCTCGGGGCTACGAGCTACCAGGCACATTCCAACCTATGCTGATATCCCAGCTTTTTTGGGAGCAGTCTCATCCCTGGGAACAACTTGCTTCTATGCATATCAGCAAGGTTGCTCGTGCCTGCAAAGATTTCATCACAACAGTTGTACAGGATAATGCTCCGGCAGAATTTCAGGAGCGTCTTGCCGCTATCAATGTTGATGCTGCTCTGGCTCGATCCTGGTCTGACGCAAAAGAAGAGCTGCGCAAGGTGCTGAAAGACAAAGCCCGCCATCCGAGCACATACAATCACTATTTTACAACTACGATCCAGAAAATGAGGCAGCGCAAACACCAGAAGATGACTCAGGATGCAGCGGAAAAGTCGGAAGCAACTACCAATGACGGACAGACCATTCTCTATCCTGACAAACTTGCTCAAGCCATGGAAAATGCCATCGAGCTCAACATGGACATTTTCTCCAGCACCGAAGCCCTTGATACCCAGCGCGCTTACTACAAAGATGAGATGAAGTACTTTGTCAACACCATCGTCAAGGCTGTCATTGAGCGTCACCTTGTGGAGCCGCTTCCCGACATTGTCCTATCTCCCCTAGCCGTCACTGAGATGACAGACAAGGAGATTGAATTTGTTGCTGCCGAGCCTGCGGAAATCACGCAGCAGCGTGCTCATCTCGAGTCGAGGAAGGCCATGTTGGAGAAGGGCCTTGATACTTTCAGGGAGGCTATGGGCGGTCTGAAGCGGTCTACGGGCTAGTTGTTCAAGGATTCACTTTGGCGGCGCAAGGAGTGATCATGGAGTGATGGAAATGAGGTTGGTACCTGAGCTAGTTGGTTTGCTACCATATCATGCAAGGAAAATGGAACCCAATGTTACCATTTCAATCCCTCCGTGTTCAGCCCTATTATGCAATGACGTGTCGAACCTGACTGGGTCGTGCCTCAGCACCCTCCGCTGCAACCACGCCCCTACCCCGTCCACCAAAACCCCCGGGCCCCCAAGCACCTATCCCTCCATTCTTGCTACTACTATCAAATCCTGCAAATTCCTGTCTGCGTAAATCTTCCTGTTCCAACTTAGAAGACTTATTATTAGCCCTCTCCCCCCCACCTAAACACAGACAGCTAATCTGACGCCGCTGTGCCAAGGGTGAACAAGTGAGACACGACATCTCCGCTAGCCAAGCTAATATGATATAAACAGATGATAGATACCTATACATTGACATTGCTACCCTAAGGATGCAGAAGTTTGCGTAAATTGCAATTATCTACGTATATAAGATAAATGCTCCATATAGCTCCACACGGTGCACTACAGTAAAAAATTGTTTACTGTAGAATGGTACGCTAGGGGTTTACTATAGAGGTATAAACTAACCTTATATATACCTGTAAATAGGTTTAAAGTAGTAGTTTACTTTTATTAAAGTAGTAGTTTACTTTTATAGTAGGGGTTTAAATTAAGTATAAAAAGTAGTTTTATTTCTATTATATGCTATAATACCTAACTAAGACTAAAAGGGGTAGAAAAGATTAGCTTCACGCTATACGCATATATGACATAATAATAAGTCATGATATTTTTACTAATAGGAGGTGGTGATAATAGGAGGTAGTGATAATAGAGGTGGTGATAATAGAGGTGGTGATAATAGAGGTGGTGGAGGTGGTGGAGGTGGTGATAGAGGTGGTGATAGAGGTGGTGATAGAGGTGGTGGTAGAGGTAGTGGTAGTGGAGGTAGTAGAGGTAGTAGAGGTAGTGGAGGTAGTAGAGGTGGTGGAGGTGGTGATAATAGAGGTGGTGGCGGTGGTGGTGGTGATAGAGGTAGTGGAGGTGGTGGAGGTGGTGGTGGTGATAGAGGTGGTAATAGAGGTGGTGGAGGTGGTGGAGGTGGTGGAGGTGGTGATAGAGGTGGTGATAGAGGTGGTGGTAGAGGTAGTGGTAGAGGTGGTGGTAGAGGTGGTAGAGGTGGTGAAGAAGATTAAAAAAAGGAGGGGTAAAATACTTAGATAGTTAGTAGGAAACTAGTTATTACAGTACTACATAATACTAGTAGATTAATAGAAGTAGAAATAAAAGTAGTTTACTTTTGTGGAATACATAGTATAATAAACCCTATTTAGGTTTACTTCTTCTACCTAAACCACTTCTTAGTCTACTTTAGATAAATATAGCTACTGTAAACCAGTTTTGTACCGTAGTGGTGTGAGTGGTATACGTGCCACCTACAAACCTCCCTTAACACTTTAAGATTAACAATATATACCAATCCCGACCCTAAATCTTCGACATACGACCATAGGACACTGAAAATAGAGAAACTAGTCTAACTCGCCGTTCGTTAAGGTACTACACTAGGAATAAGCTAATAGTTATTTAGTAACATAAGCTATATAAAAGTATTAGCCTGCCTTAACTATCCCTATAGATCTAATTAGCTATATATTCTTCTTTGTCCTCCCTCCCTACCTAGCGGCGCGTAGCGGGGCCCCCTGTATAGCAGTACGCCTTTTCTTCTAGACTTTTAACAAAGATTTAAGAATAGACACAATAACTAGTAATAGAGACCTATACAGCTATACTAATATAATAATATCACAAGGATTATAGATTTACTACTATATTAAACTCTTTAGACTAACTATAACTAATAGAGATTATTTAAAGTTAGTACTAGGCTTATTGCACAAGTTTGTCTTATTTTCTAGCAGATATAGTTTTCCGCTAAGTTACGTATAGAAGGACGTTACGGCCATAGGTGGAGTGCAAAATTCCAAGATTCTGTTATGACGCGGACATTCTGTGAGACTAGATGTGCCTATAGTTAGCTATGTTTCGGCGGCAGGAAGAGCAATAATTAGGGCATTGCGGGTCTGCGCACGTGACGTGGGTTCTTATAAAAGCATGGCCGTATAATCTAAACCCTAAGCAGGTTAGTTCTTTTAGCTCCAGGCTCATCTCAGAGTAAAGATAGACCTCGAGGCCTTTGCCCAGTGGAAGAAGTCAGTCCAGACCGCTCCTCTTCACTGTCAGACTCCGACGGCTCCTCGGCATGCAGTCCTGCTGAGTTTGCCTGAAGCGCAGTGTTGCTTGGTATGCCTTCTCTGAAGCGAACCTTCTTCGACACTAGAGAATTCCTCTCCTTGGGGCTGCCAAAAGACTTTTCTAACGAGCTATCTACCATCTCCTCATCCATGGGCCCAACCTGCGAAGGGCCTCGCTGTGGCGGTGCTTGTTCCGCTGCCAGCTCTCGATGACCTCTCGGGAGGATGGAATACTGTTTGTCTGCTGGTCCCAGGATGCCCTTCGGTGGCACCGTCTTCAATTCGGCGATCGGCTCCTGAACCTTTGCATCTCCAAGGACCTTCCTGTCGACTGGCTTTCGGTTTGCCGTCTCCTGCTGTACCTGTGCAGCAGCGATCTCCAGTTCCTCATCGTAGTCCAGTATCCTATCGGAGGCGTCCCAGAAAGCTTGGTAGTCCTCTGCTGAGATGGAGCCCGATGTCCTGTCGGGCAATAAGCTAGCAGCGACAGCGTTGTTCTGGATTGTTGCTGGGCTCAAACTGCTTTCGACCCAGTAGCACTGTAGTTGTTGCTGACGTACGCCCTGATAACCGCTCGCATATCAATTTGGCTGTGACTCCGCCGTTAGGACGAACTCTGGTCGAGGACTGAATTTCCCTGTTGATTTGGCAGGGTTCATCTTCTTTGCTTCCTCTTGGACTTCAATCCGGGAGAAGATAGGAACTAATCATGTTGAAGTTGAACTCCCGAACGCGTCTCGTTGAGAGATTGAACTTCTGAAGGATCTTCGTTGTCTGGTTGACTGGTAGGCCCTTCTCAAGATAATACCCCTTCTTTTCTCTTTCAACCATATCGGCAGCAATGCAGCGCTCAATCCGGATCTGGAACTCCTCGAGATACTCTCGGATGTTGAGGGGGGTCGTCGATTGACAGTCGCGCAGCCATTGCTCAAAGAAGACAGTCTGTTCCTCATGCTGGACGCTATCGTTGTGCATGTATCGCTTTCGGAGGGCTGTCTTAAGCGCTTCCCAGTCGATGGTCTGGAGAAGCCAGTAAGTCTTGTCAGAGGTTAAACAGAGTCCTTCGCATGGGGCGCTTATTCTTCCTATTGCCAATGGCGCCCATACGTCCTTTGCCCAGCAGGCCCTGAACCAGGACATGAACAACGAAGCCAAAGTTCATCGGAAACAAAGTCAGAAATACTCTGTAAAGCAAGAGTAATAACCTTCAAGGATGTCGTATCCCGACGCGCCAAAGCGCGCCAAGCAGAAGGCCGCGCTCGAAGCCAAAGGCAAGCATAAACGCGGCCAGAAATCAAAGCCGGCAGCGACAGCGGCGAATGAGCCTTCAGAGGCAGCTAAGCTACCGTAAAGAAGTCTAATTCGAAGCGCAAGAGGGCAAGGCGGGACCCCGAGGAAGCCACAGCAGAAAGTGCGAAACGCATTGAGGATAGTGAGACTGTTATTTTAAAGCCAGCAACAGCTCCAGAAGCGCAAAGGATCGACGGAGGTGCTATGGAGGGGGGAGTTGCGGCAGCTGCTTATAGAGCCCCAGTGGCACGTATGTATTAGTCGAAGGCAGGTTGGCGTAATCATCAGCATATGTCTCACGCATGATGACAGCTCTCCCCTCGAGTATGATGACCATGCCTGCCCATCGCGCGGGCCGCCTTAGTCATTGTACTAAGTAGCTCCTACTGCGCTTGCCCTTCTCACGCCCTTGTTATTTCAAATATGCTGACGTCGCAATGTCATGCTCGCTGTAGTTGTGCACATTGTCGTGGCGGCCGTTGCGGTCGTGGCCTGTCATAGGTCGCTGAGGCTTCGTGCGGGGACGCTGTACGCTTCGCAGTTGATGCTAGTATGTTTTTTTGGAACTCGTCGGTCAATGTTGATAGGTTATCAGAACGAGAGCGTCTTTGAAGTGAGGCGAGGGTCGAGCGGAGCAAACAGTGTAAAGAGCAGCAACCAGGGAACCGCGACTAGACCATGTTTCAGCGTAGTTCCATGTGAGAGTAGGAGACAACTGTTGCCTTCAATTAGATGATGCCGGTGAGCCACCCATACAGACGGGGCAACGTCCAGGTTTCGTCTCTCCTGGTTGTTGTGCTCTACCCCGCTGGTGTGGAGGGCAGCATTGGCCACGAGCTCTAGCGGGAGCGCACCAAGTTATGTCCACCGCGCGATCACATCCGCATTCTTGAAACCTGTAAAATTGATCGTCACACATGTCGGGTACTCGTCGTGACTGCGTGTATGTAGGAGACATTGGAGTTGCGTTCCCGGCAGACAACTTGGGAAAGCGGCTGACTAATGCTGCGGGCACAGCTGGAATTTGCCGCTGATGAGCCGGCACTGCGATCTCCACTTACGACAGCCACCTTTGCCGCAAGCCATGAATGCATGTACCGAACAAACACCACTACACGATGATCCTGTTCGGATTTGCTTCAGCTTTAAGAGTCAGGACATCCCAGGAGAACCTGGTGCTCGTCCAATAACTCTCGCGAATGCCTTTATGGAACCAACTTATGGACGGAAATTCGACTGGGATCGGGATCATTTCTACACACCAGCAGGCATAGACGAGGTCGGAGATAGCGCTAGAAGAAGCTTGTATATGTTTCTCGATATCAACAAGCACGCGAATCCTTCGTCGATATCCTTGCGCTGCGTTAAAGTCGTGAAGAAAGATTTATTGTAATTATAACGTACCCCCTGTGGCCTGAACTTACGCTGACGTCTTATATAGAACATTTAAAGACACAAACTTCAACGGGGCACTAAAATTCTCAAAATGGTACCCATGGGGCGGTCGCGACAGCGTCCAGCAGCAGCAGGTCTCACAGGTTACAGGCGACTGAGTTCATGATTTGCCTGTCAAAAGGTCCTAGATAGTCAACTCTTACGAGTTTATTTACAACATAGGTAATCGTAAAGGAAAGAGTTACAAGCGCCTTGTTCAATGAATCATGACACAACAATGCCAAGCCCTATCACGATCTCTCACCTACCCAATGTCTTGGTTCTGTCACAGAGGGCTAAAAGGCAAAAGGCTCTAACGAGCATAAGTACGCGACCTAAGAGTTTCAGCCTTCACTACGGTACAAAACTGGTTTACAGTAGCTATATTTATCTAAAGTAGACTAAGAAGTAGTTTAGGTAGAAGAAGTAAACCTAAATAGGGTTTACTATACTATGTATTCCACTTTTACTTCTACTTCTATTAATCTACTAGTATTACGTAGTAATAACTAGTTTCCTACTAACTATCTAAGTATTTTACCCCTCCTTTCTTTAATCTTCTTCACCACCTCTACCACCTCTACCACCGCCTCTATCACCACCTCCACCACCTCTATTATCACCACCTCCACCACCTCTATTATCACCACCTCTATTATTACCACCTCCTATTAGTAAAAATATTATAACTTATTATTATATTATATATACGTATAGCGTAAAGCTAATCTTTTCTACCCCTTTTAGTCTTAGTTAGGTATTATAGCGTATAATAGAATTAAACCTACTTTTTATACTTAATTTAAACCCCTACTAGAAAGGTAAACTACTACTTTAATAAAAGTAAACTACTACTTTAAACCTATTTATAGGTATATATAAGGTTAGTTTACACCTATATAGTAAACCCCTAGCGTACTATTCTATAGTAAACAATTTTTTACCGTAGTGCTTATAAAATAAAGGCCGTGGATTTTATTTCGTTCTCACTTCTAAGTATCTTTAGATTAGTCCAGTACCGTGGGCGTTCCGTTACGCGTGGACGTACGTTAACTATCTTATGTCTTATAAGCTAATAAGTGAGTGTAGTAACGCCGGACAGATATTTCTAGGGGGATGTATAGTGGTCCTGGCCTAGAGAAGCAATAGATAAGCGAGTAAATGAATTTCGTATTACTACAGGCCTATAATACAAGGAAACTTCGCATTCACACTCTCTCAGAGAGTGTCTCACTTCTGGTAACAGCTACATTCACAACAGTCTCATATTCCTATGTATTATTAGTAGGGTTTGGCTTAAAATTGGGCCCACTTACATGTGGTTCAGGGGCGACGCGAGAGTTTGAATCCTTATTATACACGTAGAAGTTGTTTTCGTGACGAACTATCATGTACACCTCAGTTTCGGACATGTGGCAAAGTTGACTAGCTTTTCGGATAAGCGTGTTAAATCGATTGTGTAGCTTAGGGCTTTGGGCGTAGGGTGATCGAAAGCTAGGCTCCTGTGGCATTTGTAGTTCGTATTGTATAGTATTATCCTACGAAAGATCTATTAGCAAAGGTCTTGTGTAATTATTGCTGCATTTCATACAGATTCTAGAGTTGAGCTAGAAGTACTATGACCGTCTTCTTCATGGGTGTATCCCTGGCTACCAGAAGCAGACGTGCTCTGGCACTGGTCTTCTAATATCTTTTCCAATTGAGTCTTGGAATAAAGATATTAGGCAGCTGCAACAGAACGATCGCGAAATGGGTAAGGCGTAAGTGGGTGGTCATGATAAGCTGAGGGCGGAGGAATAGCTAGCTGCAGTGCATCGAACGTCGCGCGGCGTTGAAGTTTGGCATATCGGCGTTGACTGTGCCGAGGAGGCACCATGCTGCCATTTGCGGTCGACCGTTGACGTGACATGTTCAAGCTGTGGTAGCAATAGCAGTAGCGCTTCTAAACTGCACTTTATATACCTAGGTACCTAGGTTAGTGTTCACATACCTTTCCAGGAACAATCAACGGTGAACAGGAAACGGTGAACAGAAAATAAGTACTGGGAACCAGGAATCGGTGAACAGGAATTGGGGCACGAAAAACGGTCCTTGGTTCTGCGGTTGTTACCTGCAGGACCAACTTGACGCGCTATTTTAACGTTAGCGGCGTGATAAACGTACCGGAAGTTGAATCGACCTACCGGTACCTAGTTAAGCGCCTGTTACATAGATTCTGCCACTGATGAAGCGCGAGGGCGCAAATTACATACATTTTTAGGTCTGAGTAACCCCATAGATAGAAAGAATTGACTCCTCCAGTTCGTAGGCTTTGCGCTTACGTGGGCCAAATGGTGGGATACCGTGTACTGAAATGGCGTGCTCCCAAAATGCGTCCTCTGTTGGGCAAGCACTCTCGCAAATTGGATGAGGGCAGACGCCTGAATATCTCTCGTAACTTGCGTTTGACCGAAATATTGACAATCTTCCAGTTATCCTTGTCAAGGGAGTCTAGCAACTTTGACTCGTGAAGCTCAGACCTAAGCCTAGCCAGTGATGGAAGTATTATAGGGATCCTTAAGATGTCAAATCCATAGAATGATTACGGCATAGGAGGAAGCACTACTCACGCTTGCAATGGTGCTAAGTGGAGGACCTGTCGCTCCTAGGCTCCTCTAGAGCCTTGGCTTATGGGTGTGCATGTCCGTCATTCAGGAGCAAGGCGTCCTCAGCCATGCGCACAATCATGCGCCGTCTGTACGGTGGTCCCCCATCTATGCTTATCTCTTTTCCCCCCTTATGGCTTCACTCCAGCTCCACCCTACATCCGCGACAACATCCGCTAGACTCCAGCTGCAATCATGCTTCAAACCATAGGTCGTAAGCGAGGCTGTGTTGTGATAACCGAGGGATCTTGTACCAATTTGCACAGTTCAGCGTGCACCATTTTTTGTATACAGCCTCAATACTTTGACTTTAAACATCCCTTGCGATCAATTTTGTCTTCCAGACTACCAGAAATCCTAGGAGGCCTCTCAGACCCCACGAGCTAGAACGAAATAGTCCCAGTAGTCATAGAATTCTCGACGGTCCAGTACTAGAGGCAGATATTTTGATTCCCATTCTGAACCAATCCGCGAGGTCCACCGAGCTTTGCAATACTCCCAATAATCGGGATACCATCCAGATTGATGCCAATCAATGATTGCAATAATCTGAGGGTTGGGACCAGAGGACAGAATGATGTTACTTGGGTGTAAATCAGCGTGCGTAAACACGATGGGAACATTGTCAGGGAGAAAGGAGCGGTATGGATGTGGTGATGCATCTTGATCATCCTGGGTTGGACCATATGCGGTTGTAAACCAGTCGTGGAAGTCAGAGACGCTCTCGAATGGCCCTGCAGTTGGAGAGTTGCTATCTGTAAAAATGATATCTAATAGCGGTTGCTTGCCAACATGACCTGGTCGGGAGGATTAGACAAACGCTGTACAAAATTCTGATGGTAGACTCGAGCGATGGGGGCTTTCAGATTGACCTGACGAAGTTGAACTTACCAATGAATGGTGGCCAAGAGTCCTGCTGAACACCGCGCAATGCAACGACCATGTCATGCAATTGTTGACAAACAGACGTCTTTTCTCCTTCAACCATAGTATCCCAGCTCTTCTCCATCGTCATGCCGTCCACCAGCTCCATATACAGGAACACTTGATCGTCGTCCTTGCACCACCCATACACTTCCGGAACAGGTAGGACTTTGGAAAGAGTGTTGTGGATGAATAAGAGGCATTGCCCCTCAGCAAGTGCTACCTCCGTCCCGTATTTCACTAATAGCCCTAGATTAGAAAAAATTACAGGTGGAGGCCGAGTTACGAGCTTAGCTCTGGGGTTTTCGGAGTGACTCGCCACTTCTCTCACTTCTGTCGGCGTTGGAAGAGACAGTGGTGCGTTCGGTTTCTTGAAGAATGATGACTCGCGGAATACAACGTTCTCGTCAAACGGGAAGGGTTCACGCCGTATCTCCTCTTCCATGGTGAAAGAAGATATCTCTGACGAGTTTTGTTTGTTCGTTGGCGGCAGTCTTTATAAAGGGTGCGTAAATGGGATCTTGTATCTCAGTGACAGATTGGTACGCGTTGTCTCCCCACCACAGTCGCTCAGATGAGTATCAGGGGATTATTGTTGTACTTCTTAACTCGGGACTAAGATTAGTGAACCTTAAACCAAGCTTCACTTGCATTTCCTATCTTGTCTGACCTTGACCGTAGTCACATAAAGACCAGCGGCTGGGAGGGAGAGTCAAGCATAGGGGTCGTAAGCTGAGTTTAGCGGAGCGAGTTGGTTTGGCGGGAAAGGGAGCATCGTGAGTTGAGTCGCGCAGGCAGTGAGCGGCTGAGGGGTCTCGCACTGCTAAATCAATCTAATGAGATTGTGTCGTGTCCGTGCATCTCATGCCGAACGTAGTTGATGACATAATCGTTGGCCAATAACGTTAGCGTCGAACACAGAACCGCTGAGCCTTGGCATCAGCATGACGTTGGCCGCCCTTTCACAAAGTACCGGTCCTGGGTACATTGATTGCAACACAGTATCCCGCAAACAGTGATTTCAAGGGCTTTTGTGGGTGATCAGACAGGAGAGTATAGAGCTTCCCGTTCGCTCAGCTGAACTCAAGCAGTGTACCGGCGGATTAGTAGTCAAGTGGGTTGACCACTGGCGAATCCCCGCTGTTGTATGTTTTGGTTTTGTCTTCCCATCTTATGTGGAGTAATCCTGAAACATTAGTTAGCTGAAAGAGCATTCCGCGCGCAATGTACTACAACTCCTGCACATTGTCAAGGAACTCGGCGCTTATGAACGATTCCAAAATTTCTAAAAACTTGCCGTCATGAATCATCTCCATACTTAGCCCGCTCAAGGGTGGCATACATGCCATATTTTGATATAATCGTATACATCTCCTACCAGAGCATTCCCCTAATAAAATCCACAACCCACTCACCCCCGTGACAACCTGACATACCCACCCCACCCCCCACTCCCTCCTTGCGCAATCCCCAACCCTTCAATACTCAAAACTCTCCGTATGCAAATACACGCCCTGCGCCCCCGTCCCCTTGTGCACAGCCCGCTCATCGCTCAACACACAAACATCCCGCTTCACAGCCGCCACCAGACTCTCCGGCCCACACACCACGACCGCAGACTCGCCGCGCGCCTGCTCGAGCGACTTGCGAATCAGAGACCGGGTTGGAGGACGGCCGGGGTGGATGGCGATGAGGGGGTGGAGGAGGAGAGGGGAAGAGGGGGTGGAGAGCGGGGTGCTGGAGGTTTGGGAGGCGGGGCGGCTGGTGGCGGTTGTGTCGTGGGAGGATTTGGGGGTGTGGGTGGGGGTTTGGGATGGGGTGGTCATTGGTTGTTTTTCGACTTGGGGGTTCTCGTGGGGGTTTTGTGGGTGGGGTGGGGGGGAGGGGGGGAGGTCGCGGTATCGGATTGTGCCGTGTTTAGGAGACTCTTGTGGTGCTGTCGTGGATTTGGGCGGTGCGATGTTGGAGAGGAGGGATTTATGCTCATCGGTAAAGGTTGGGTCGCGGGTGATATATATTGTCATTTCCAACTTGATATCCTTGAGTCTCTCCTGCAACATGCGGAAATCTGCGTACACAGATGATAGTGACTCTGTGAACCAGGAAAGTTGACTCTTGCTCTTGACCACCCAGATGAAGCGCACATGGCGCGTGACGGCCCCCTTTGGGATTGCGAAAAGCCCGCTTCCAGGCTCGAGAAGACCGGATGCATTTTCGGTCCAGCCTTGGAGGAGGTCGCGGAGCAAGGGAACGGTGTATGTGGCTCCTGTACTTCCAGCGAGGAAGATTACGCTGTCGAATTGGCGCAAGGGTCGAATACAACCATAGGGCCCCTCGATAGTAACCGTTTTACTGGTCGACTCAGGGGAACCAATCCGCGGTTTCTCGGCGTGTCGAAAGAATCGCAGTGTACCTCCTTTCCTGGCCTTGATGAAGAACTCCATTCTTTTGTCTTGCGGTATCGATGAAATCGTAAACGGATGGTTCTGCAATGGCGCAACCGATGGGCAGGAGAGAAATACATGCTGGCCTGGAGTCCAGCTGATCGGAGGATCCCGTATGACGATGCGGGTAGTGTCATGTGGGAAAGGCGTAAAATCTGCCTGGCAGGTCAAGAAGCCGCCAGCTTGGCCTTGCTTCTTCAGCGAAGGATGAAAGAATGAAATGTTGGCATAAAGTAGTCTTAGAAATCGGACGACGCGGTCGAAAGCAAATAAGGCGATGGGTATCCAGACATAAATATGCATCTCGGCAGGGGTGTGGATGTAGACGAAGGCGAGGAAGAGGGCGAATGAAATGATGTGTTGGATTACGAAGACCTCGTAGTACCACCCTCGGATGGGTGTCATGGAGCTCAGAACAATCCATACTAGGGTACACCAAGCTGCCAGACCTTTCCAGACGATGGCATTGTTCTTGAGTTGGTAGCCCACGTAGTTGAATGGGGCCCATGCTAAGACGTTGTCAGTGTTTCTTTATATGCTAATAGGAAGAACTGAAACACTGCGGAGTTGTGTCTTCAAGGAAGGATGCCCCAATACGACATGAAAAATACGCAATACATACCACTGATGAAATAGCCCATATGCATAGTAGCCGTCAAGAGCATACATCTTGCACACCACCGATGTAGCCAGTTCAAACGTTCATAACTGATACCGCCCAGATAGCCAACAATGTTGTTCTTGCCTGAAAGCAGGAAAATGAGCGGCAGTTGTGAAATAGTGACGACACCACAGCGAAAGCCAACATCTTCCCGAGTGAAGACACTGTCAAGCTCGAGTCCATAGAGACAGAGAACAACCAGTACAACCACATTGAACACTACCAACGCTGTGCGCCCAACAGTAGGTAGTCTGAATCTCCGATTCTTAAACGGAATATGAATCGAGTAATTAGAAGCCTCCCTCGTCAAGGCATATAACGTCGCATTCCAGAGCGGGAGCCAGGACTGTGGCTTCGCAGGCGTTTGATCCCCCGATTTTGCTGCAGACAGTCTTTGCCTGCACAACACATGGTTGTAAATGTTGACCACCGTCGCCACAGCGATTGCAGTTCCAACAACGGCCCAGTAAAACGTTGGCCATGCGTCGAGTTCTGGCAGGGCGGCCATGGAGCCCATGGCCATGCCATGGTGGTGGCTCATGCTGCCTTGGTGGTTCACGGGCGTGTCGCAGCCTGCTGTCTCGAATCGGTTTCTGGAAACGGCTTGGAAGTTCTGGATGTCGAAGGGAGGGAGAGAGGGTACCGGTATCGCGTAGAAACGCTTGGGCCTCTGTATCGGTATGTTCTTTACCGGTATCGCATTCTTGCACACATTCAGACACCTCCTCAGTTTGCGCTCGGTCGCTCAGCCCTCAGGGTATAGTACTTAGGTGACAGTACAAGAGGGGACCGATTATTGATGAGGCAGGCCGCTCAATTCCAAGGTCAGCGACGGGTCACGGCTCGGCGGTGGCACAAGTCCTCTGTGGCCGGAATGGTCAGCTACCGGTATTGGTCCCGGTAATAGCTAAGATAGAACTACTCTAGGTACTGCACTGTCTGCCCAGAACCCCTCTGGATGTACATTGATGTGTTGCAGGGATGATCGAGGCCAGTGGGGGGCAGTTGTGGCGTTCACAGGCATCCTTGCCTTGGCCAGAAACAGTTAATCTTGCTCAAAGTCGCTCCCTCTCTCCCACGGTTCTTTAGACATCGCTTGCACAGGTGCTGCAATTTACCGTTCTTTTGTAGCGGTGAGAAACTAAGACAAAAAACCAAAAAACCAAAAAAAAAACAAGCCACCAGAGTGTGCCAGGCTGTCCCTACTCCTTTACTTCTCAAATACCATGTGTCATGTCCATGTTGCACTTTCGGTGTTTCTTTTGACTTGTCCTGACACTTGATGCCTCAGCCCAGCAGTATTACCTTTCGAGTGTGTCGCAAGGTCGTGCACATTTCAAGGCCAAGCACTGTGTATTGAATTCAGGCAGACTTGGCGTCTTACTGCTATGCATTCATGCTGCTAGATTGCTACCGCCGTTCGTTGTCGTCCCGCCCCAGACCAGAGCGTGTAACCCCACCGAGAACACCACGTCTAAGACACCACGTTTAAGGCGATCGTTCTCCCAGTTCTACGTCGTAATCTGGATTTCACCGAATTGCACAACTTATTCTCAATATACAGCACATGCTCTCATACAGCATTTCATATATCGACACACATTGAACATCTTACCGGTACCTCGACGAACCTCCAACCGTCAATCACCACCACAATGGTCGCCCACGGAGATGACACAGCAATGGGAGCCATGGACGGTATGAGCGATTCAACCTCCACCTCGCACAGCGGCATGACCATGGCCTTCATCACATCCACAAACACGCCTCTCTACTCCCTAACCTGGACACCGCAGAACGCCGGCCAATACGCCGGAACCTGTATTTTCCTAATCTTCCTCGCCGTCGCCCTGCGCGCCATCTTCACCGCGCAAACCTTCCTCGCCATCAGAGCGACGAAGAGCGCACTCAAGCGACGCTACGTCGTGGTCGCAGGCGAGAAATCAGTCGCTGAACAGGCGCTCGACGATGGCAGCTCGACAACGGGTGTCCTGACTACCAACGGCGTACAGGAAGATGTGCGGATTGTGTCAGCACCGGTGAGACATGTGCAACCGTGGAGATTTGGCGTCGATCTTCCTCGTGCACTGTTGACGGCTGTTGCGGTCACGGTCGGGTATCTTCTGTGAGTTCCCCCCTGCCCCCCCCCCCCCCCCCCTTTTTTTTTTTCTCTCTTTCTCTCGCACGAACAACGAAGCCCCCTGAATGGAGAAGATAGGGAAAGCGGGCTAACAGCGAACAGCATGTTGGCGGTCATGACTTATAATGTCGGTTACTTTCTGTCGGTTATCGCAGGTGCTTTTGTGGGAGAATTAGCGTTCGGTCGGTTTCATCAAGGGGGCATGGGTATGTAAAGTGAGTCGCGGGCGGCAGACGGATTGCAACTTTATACCATACCTAGCCTACCTATTCCTGCAAGATCGATGTCATGATATACCTATTTCCTGTCACCTCACCACGGAGTTCTGAAAGAAGCTCGAGATGATTCCCACTTTGCACGAGATGCAAGACTGCAGGGTCAGCGGTGCTGTGGGCCTGCAACCCATCATCTCTTGTCTACAGCTACCGGTACCAAGCTTGTTCAGCGGACCGAATCCCCAACCATGTCGTCCATCATGATATGATTCCCCTGTCAATCCTACCACCAACACGCTCATTCGCCCATCCTTCAACGGAGCCACCACCGCTCGAGTACCCATGATACCTTACTAACAACCCCAACCCCCCACCCCCCCTGTCCCGCCTAGCGACCAAGCTTTGTACTAACCCGATGGTCTCCATTGGCGAGAAAACCTGCTCACTTGCCTGCACATCGAACCTTTCGGGTGGTCTGGGCAACCAACTCCCCATAGCCTGATAAGCTGGCTCTTTGATGAACCTCACTCTAGCAGATGCAGCCACCGATGTAGGACCCTGTACGCCTACTGTGTTGCGTTTAGCCCTGAGGGCTCGTGATGGTGTTGCGGGTTCGCTATGGCTTGATGCGAGTTAGGCGAGGTTGGCTGGGACGGAATGTACGATGGTACGGGCGTTGCGGGGAGACACATTGTGGTACTCTGGTGTGCCTATAAGCTAAGGAGGCACCACCTCGTGGCTTTGGATCTTGGTTTGCTCTTGAGCTTTGGATCTTCGTTCCTTTAAACATTCTTGCTGTCACATCTTGTAGTAGTTGGTCTCTTCTACAGCATCCATCCCCATCTCCGAATCAAGTCAATCACTCAAGATGCTCTCCACCACGCTTCTCGCCCTCTCCTTCCTCCCTGCCACCTTCGCACATTTCAAGCTCAAATATCCCACGTCGCGTGGATTCGACGATGACAAGGAAGGCACCTTTCCCTGCGGCGGCTTCGACACTGTTCAATCAGAGCGCACAAACTTTCCTATCAGCGGGGGCCCTATCCAGATCAACCTTGGTCACCCACAGACCAATGTAGCCGTTTACATGGCCATTGGCGACGACCCAGGAAGCGCATTCAGTATCAAGATGCAGCCCAACACCATGATCACTGGACTTGGCGACTTTTGCTTTGGCTCCGTTTCCGTACCTGCTGGCCTCAATGTAACCGAGGGAACAAAGGCCTCCATCCAGGTGGTCACAAACAACCACGAAAGCGGTGGTCTTTTCCAGGCAAGTCATCAATGCGTGACAGCAATAGCTGTCGTGTCCGCCCCTGAGCAATTGCTAACAGGGAAATATAGTGCGCCGACGTCACACTTGTGAACACGCCCCTCTCCTCGTCCGACTACAGCAACAACTGCAAGAACGCATCTACATCGGTTACCCAAGAAAACATTTCGGGTAACCCCAACGAGACCTCTTCTGGAGAGACTGGTGGCTCAGCTTCAGGGTCTGGGAGCGCTGCTGCTGCATCTCCCACAGCCAGCCCGGCTGCTGCATCGCAAGCAAAGGCTGTCTCGTGGGTTCTTGGCGCTGTTGGACTGGCGGGTATGGCTCTGTTGTAGATTTGTGGTGCAGATGCGCCATGAAGGAATACCACATCTAGCGAAAGCTCAGATGGGAACGTGGTTGTCCTGTCCACTCTGTTTCTTCAATTGGAATTGGCACGCTCAGCAAGTGCGATGTCATGTCAGTGATGCATCCGTGCTGGGTTCCTGAGAGTTGGCATATGCAGACATGCAGGGAATAATATTACGGTTCATGTTCACCAGTGGAATAGAAATCGGCTGTATTATCCTGCCTGCTGCCTCGTGTGAGATGGTTGTAACTGTGACAGGCAGTGTGGGAGGTGAGCGAAGAGCAGATATTCGATGGATGGAATGACACACAGGCTTGTGAGCCTGGGACTTTGCACAAAGCTGAGAATGTGTGCAGGCGAGATAGCGTGACAGTTTCCATGGTGTGACATGTGTCGTTGCCGTGTGCCGAGTGTCGTTTGTGGTGGAAGAGGTGAATGGGCTTGGTGTTGCCCCTCTCTCAGCCCTCTCAGCCCTCTCAGCCCTCTCAGCCCTCTCAGCCCTCTCTGACGCTGCGGGTGCGGGGGATATTTTGGAGCTTTCCACAAGCGAGCACACAATCGGCGGTTTCCGCAGCACTCTCCGACCACTGCGTCAACTTCACCACCAACACCATTCTCGACTTCCCGCCCTCGACCCCGAAATTAGCTGTACGTACCGGTCCCGTGATTGCTCCGAGGCTTCCCTTCCGTCTCTCTTGGACTGTACTTGTCGTGGAAGCCCATCGCTGACTTGCCGCCCACGCACACAGTTCTCCCTCACGGTCGTCCCCCCACAACCGCAAATATGGATCAAGCAAAGTTGGCGCGTATGCAAGCGTCGGTGCGCATTGGTAGGTCACCCACCCCTAATCATCCCACCGGCGATGGCATTGAGCGGCCTCGTATGGGTTTTATAGAGACACAAATGGCTAACAGGCACGCGTGTAGGGTAAGGAATTTCCCCTCGGTCGAGTTTTCGCAGCCCCGCACCGTGTCTCGTCCCCACAGTAGCGAAATCCAGAAAATGGCAAATCGGCAGCGGAAAGACGTGCAACACGGACTGGAATATTGGAAAACGCGAACAAAGGCTGACTGGGTGATATAGCGGAAAGGGTACTCCCCGCAGGAAGGTCAAGAAGGTCCACAAGAACTCTGGCACCGACGACAAGAAGCTCCAGACGGCGCTGAAGAAGCTCAATGTTCAGCCCATCCAGGCCATTGAGGAGGTCAACATGTTCAAGAGCGACGGCAACGTCATCCACTTCTCGGCACCCAAGGGTAAGTTCCTGCTGGATCCAGACGATTTGGGGCACAGAGGGTTAGCATAGGGATACTTGTGGCGCCAGGCCATTGTATCTTCCTAGCTATGTCCTTCATGGCTACCCCCAGCGTTTTGGAGCCGAACCCAAATGACTAACATCTATGCAGTCCACGCCTCAGTACCATCAAACACCTTCGCCATCTATGGGAACGGCGAGGACAAGGAGCTGACAGAGCTGGTCCCTGGTATCCTCAACCAGCTCGGCCCAGACTCGCTCGCATCGCTGCGCAAACTCGCCGAGAGCTACCAGAGCATGCAGAAGGAGAAGGGCGAAGAGGGCGACAAGAAGGATGATGATGAAGAGGATGACGACGAGGACATCCCAGACCTTGTTGCTGGCGACAACTTCGAGTCAAAGACCGAGGTCGAGTAAAGTGGTTGTTTGTTCAGTAGCTTGGAGGATATCCTGGTAGAACCACAGCAGGGAAATGTGTAAACGGCCCACCGAATGTAATCTCGCATGATCGACTTACGCTGCTATGCAATCAACGGCTTTTTTCCAGTTGGCAGTCACGGCGAGTCTTGCATGGGGATACCGGACTGGCGTTGCGTTTCCAAAACATATGGAATGAAAAATATCCTTGCACACTTGCGCACTTCCGTCTTCCACACTTGAAAAATCATGTGCAGGTGAAGAACAGGTGCTTGACTAGGGTCCAGTACACTCTAATCGAAGAAGAACATGTCCTCTACGGAATCGCTATGCAGGTGTTGGAATCAGCAACATAGCTTGGGATCTTCCAACATTGTCAGAGCTTGACTTGAGGAACGCCACAATGACTCTCTGTATGTAAGCAAGTGATTGTAATCAAGCAGAGATTGGGGTCCAACAGCTTCGGGTCGGGTGCGATGCGTGCCGGCAATATCGAGGGGTAACTTGTTGTAGCTAGTTTGAGGTCTCGATTGCGCCACCAGGACCTGTGAATCAAGCCTCCAACACCGGTACGTAGAATGTAAGCAGGCGTACTTTGCCTGTCGCTAACTTGATTTTAACGATTAACGACGAGTATATAGACTTGAAACAGAGATGCCTCATCCTCTGAATCAAATTGACATCAGCTGCCATTCAAATCACATCCAGCATCCACTCTCGGTTCCCCACCTCTATTGTCCTACGCAAGACGCGCATTGACTAGAGACGCGACTTAGATCAAGTTACACAAGCGTATCGCTTTCGAGAACGTTTTTCCATCTTCCATTCCACAACCTACATTCTCTATCTTCGTGGATACTTTCCCCCTCTACATCACGACCATGAGTATCGAATCCATTGTAATTCTCGGCGGATCATTTGCAGGTATTGGTGCTGCACACTATGCGCTCCGACACGTCGTCCCACAATTACCCAAGAAACAAGACGTCTCCTATAATGTGATCATCGTCACCCCCTCCACGGACATGTACTGGAGGATTGCAGCACCCAGAGCTGCAGTGTCCAAGGAGATGATGCCCCCAAGCAAAATATTCTATCCCATCGCGCCAGCCTTCTCCTACGCCTCTTCCCAATTCAAGCTCTTGCAGGGTTTGGCAACACATGTTGACCCAGCTGGGCAAAACGTATCGGTTACAACTCGATCAGGAGAACGGCAGACTATCCCTTACGCAGCCCTTGTTGTCGCTACAGGTTTCACATCACCTAGCCCGCTCTTCACCCAAGAGACGGGTGCCAGGGCTCTTGAGTCTGTTTATGACGACTTCCAGCACAGCCTCAAGGGCGCCAAGCACGTCGTCATTGGGGGTGGTGGTCCAGTGGGCGTCGAGATGGCCGGCGAGATTTCAGAAATACTGAATGGCAAGCCAGGCTGGTTCGCGCCCTCCTTCCCCAAGGATCCCAAGGCCAAGATCACGCTCATCAGCAGTGACAAGAAACTGCTGCCCATTCTCCGCGAATCGATCAGTAAAGATGCAGAAACCCATCTCAACCGTCTCGGCTGCGAAGTCAGCTACAAAACCCGCGTCGAATCCGCCAGCAGGACTGGTGCCACCACGCTCGTCGAACTCTCCAACGGCGAGACCATCGACGCAGACATCTACATTGACGCCACCGGTACCCGTCCAAACACTAGCTTTCTGCCCAAAGACTGGCTCAACAACCGCAACCGCCTTGTCTGCAACGAGAAGACGCTCCGCGTTGAACATGCCACCGCCGGCCCACGCATCTACGCGCTCGGTGATGTGGCATCGTATACCCGCGGCGGAGTCATGGACATGTCCGATGCGATTCCTGTCGCCATGTGCAATCTACGCACCGATCTGATTGCCCATCTCACGGGCAATGCGCCAACGGGTGATCGCCACTACACTGCCAATCTCAAGGAGTCGCAGGTCGTGCCGATTGGGACGCAAAAGGGTGTTGGCGCGTTTGGAGGCATCAAGCTGCCGAGCCAGATGGTGTGGATGATGAAGGGTCGGGACTATCTTATTGGCATGTTGGCTGAGTCGACGCTGAGGGGAGATGGGTTTAAGAAGGAGGGCAAGTGGACGCCGGTTCGGGATGCGACGGCGAAGGTTGGGTTTAGCTCGGGGTAGAGTGTGGTCAGAGCTGTGATGGGGTAGTGATGATGTGTTATGTTTTTTGGGAATGCCCTGGGGTGGTTGGCAAATCTACTTTGATAGCAATAAATTAATACATGTCCTTCTCTTCGTAGGGTATTTATAGTTTTGTGTATCGTCTATGGCCAGGCGACTAAGAACCGCGAGATTAGCTTCTTGATAGGCTGGAAAACACGACGGAAGGATCCAGGTCCATGAGTGGGGCTGACAATTGCACGGAAACAAAATTCCCTAAAGATTTTGTTAATATGCCAGACCCAACATATCACAAGGATGTAAAATGGCCGGAATGTAATGAGATCGCTCAAGATCTCCGAGCCCCACTTAAATTAAGCTTAAAAGCTAGCGCGTCATAGCTCCCCGCCAAAATTTTGAAACATCAACAATATGGCAAGATAACATGACACCGCAAACCACACCACACCCACACCAGCCATTGTCGCGCCAAAGAGGCCACGCCAGGACAAATCGCCGAATAAAATACAGGGGATTCTATATATAGAAACCCACCATGGCGACAACAGCGCCCGCCCCATCAGCACCTCCCGCTCTGACCTTCCCTCGTCCCATTTTCGCAGCCGTTTCACCCCACCCTTTCCTCCAAGCACACCTCTCTGCCGCCTCAAAATCGAGCAAAAAAGGTCTCCGAGCCAATGGCCGCACCGCACACGAGTTCCGCACACCAGGTCTTCATACGGGCAGTCTGACACATTGCAACGGCAGCGCAGTGGTGCGCTTGGGCAACACAAGCGTCGTCTGCGGTGTACGCGGTGAAATCCTGAGGGAAGAAGATATCTCGGGCGATGTACCGACGCCGAACCTACACGCATCAGAGGACGAGAACCTGGAAGATGAAGACGACAACGACGACAACGACGACGAAATATCCAAACTCCGCCTCCTCGTACCCAACATCGAACTCAGCACCGGCAGCACACCCACCCACATCCCCGGCAACGCACCTTCAACCCACGCCCAAACACTAATCACCCGCATCCGCTCCCTCCTCCACTCAACCCGCCTCCTCCACCCACGCACCCTCCGCATCCTCCACACCCCACCCACCACCGCGGACCCACCCCACGCCCCCGAACGCCCACAACTAAAAGGCTACTGGGTCCTCTACCTCGACATCTTCTTCATCAGTATCGACGGCAACGCTTTCGACGCCGCTTGGCTCTCCCTCCTCGCCGCCCTGCAAAACACCACACTCCCCCACGCCTTCTACGACGACCAACTCGAGCGCATCCTCTGCTCCGACGACCCCACAGAGGCCCGCAGACTCGCGCTACGCGGCTGTCCCGTGGCCGCATCGTTTGCGGTGTTTGAAGCGAGCGCCGAGGACGGGGATGATGATGATGATGCCGGGCAGCGTGACGAGGACTCACGTGCTGCCGGTCATTGGATTCTTAGTGATCCGGATGCATTTGAGGAGAGCGTGTGCACGGAGACGGTTTGTCTGGTCGTTGATGGCAGGGGAGGCGGGGAGGCAGGGGTGGTGTTGCGCCGGGTGGAGAAGAGTGGGGGTGCGGTGGTGGGCAGGCGGGAATTGGCTGGGTTGGTGGATAGGGCGGGGGCGCGGTGGAGAGAGGTTTTTGCGGGTTTGGGGAGGGACGGGGTGCGGTGAATGGGCTGCTGAGGGGATAGAGGGGGAACATGTGTTCTGCTCCATTCCATTCCGTGTCCTGGTTCACAAAGCAAATGGCAAAAAAGCAAGAATCAAAGACAAGGTTGTAGGAACGTCACTTGTTGCAACAGTATGCTGGAAGATTGGACCTGTGATATCTTCCGTGTAAACACATTGCCCTGTCTTCTGTCTGTCTGTGTGTGTTTTTTATATATATATATATTCATTCCTCTTTGCAAATTTGCACGGTTTAGTTGGCTAGGATGGAATGGGATGGGATGCAATGGTTTGATTTGCAAGTTTTGAATGCTTTGCTCTGCTTCCCGTCGCTCTGTCCTGCCCTTGGCCCCAACCCAAACCAAGCCAGCTACTCCGTCTCAACATTCTACTCTCCGTCGCATGCCTCTCACAGACGCAAATATATAGTACCCATTATCCAACCAAGCCTTCCGACACCGCAGTCCTACATCAATCCATCCACACCTAATCCCTCCTTGCCCACCCCTCTCCCATATCGCCAACTCACACAGATATCGTACACATTTCTCTCTCGCCTCCGACTTCCCCCCCTCACCCACCCCCCGGCCGAAACGCCAGATACCCTCCGGCCTTCGTCTCCGCCCCATCTGGCTCACCGTACCGGCGCTGTCCCGGATACGCCGGTGCAGGCGTAGACGTAGGCGCAGGCGTGTGTGCAGGAGAAGGGAGTTCGTAAATAGTCGGCTGTGAGGTCTGCAAAGGGAAATCGTGTGTTTGTTGCGAGACAGGCAGATGGCGTGATTGTTGCGACGAGGGCAATTCGTGCGTTTCTTGCGAAGAGGGAAGTTCGTAGAGGGGATAGGGTGTCGAGTGTGGAGAGGGTGTGGAGTGTTGTGGTGGAGGGGAGAGGGAGTGGTTCCAATCGGGTTCTGA